TGGCATCTAGCAAGAACAATTTTTATCCCAAACTGCTTAGAAATTATTGGTAGAAAACAGAGAGAAAGCTTTGCCTTCCTTGGGCATGATCCTACAGTATTTGAAAATTTAAGGAGAAAGATTTTAGGTATTTTTCTACTTTATTATGTTTTATGCTAGAGTTCAGTGAAGATTGGTACAGAAATGACTTGTTATCATACGTACAGTTCTTAGAGCCTCCTCCTTTACATTTAGTGCGTCCAATTCCTGCTGCTGAACAACCAATTCCTAAAGAGGAAAAAAATACTAAATTTAGATAAAAATTCTTACTTGATGAGATTACTTTTCTGTACCACAGCTTAGTATTTATAAAATGCTGTAAAACACCTTGTTGCTGCACTTAAAAATTTAAAAGACAAGACTGTGCCCAGCTTCTCCAAGTAACTCAGATATAATAGCCACCTACCATCCAACTTTTCCAATAACCTCTTATCATTGTTACTTGCAGTTAGGCTATAACCAAAAAATTGCTTGCCCTTTTCCCACTACTTTTCTAAAAACCGGTACTGAGGGTGCAATTTGTCATTTCTGCTTCAGAAGTTTAAAGTCAGATTTTAAAATCTGAACAAGCCACCAGTTTCTTCATAGCCCAGAAAGAGACATGTAGACCCTGACTAGTAATTCAGCTTATCCTAAGATAGCTAGAAAGCACTTGGCCTCAAAAGATTACTCTCTTCCCATACAGACTATACAGAGAAACTTTCTAAGACTGTATGCCTAAAGCCAGATGATCTCAGAAAACCTAGAAATCTTACTGCTTTTGTTAATATTAGGATTAGTGAAGTCACAAAAATTTTACAAAGCCCAGTTAATTTTTCTGATCCATTCAGATGTACAGAAAGAACAACAAAAAAACCCCAGTCAGATTAATTTTTGTACACAGGAAGAAAACTTTCTACTCAAGTGAACTACAAAAATTGCTGGGGTTGTTTTTCCCTTTTTGCCTGCCTTTTACACGATGAAACATCTAAGCACTACAATGGCTTGTCAACCTGCAGGTCAGTTCCCACATTTAAAAGGAAAGTGATGAACATCACTTGTTCTTAAATTAAGAAATACAAAATGACAAAAGTATTTGGTTTTAGTCAATTGTTCTATTTGTTTTTCAGGCACTTCTACAATTGATTAAGATACCAACAAGATTTTTTAATTGTATTACTCCATTCTCAAGCTCTTTAATACTTAAATTGTATCCAGAATCAGTGGAGCCAGACTGAGAAACATTTCAGGTAAGTACAATGAAACAAACCAACCTGGGAGAGTTTTTCATTTGCAGCCTTCATCTCCATATATTTAGCTTGATTTTCCTGTGACATATCTTTTATTATGTCATCTGCTACAAGCTTTTCACGTTCGATATCTTCTTCTACAGCTTGAATTAACTTTTCTGTGCTGTAAAAATAGAACGTTTTTGTACCTTCTGCTAGTTGATGCTTATTTGAAACACCCATTTCAAACTCTGGTATTCCTTCAGTCTCACTGAAATGAGCCTTTAACACAAAAACTCCACGAACTCTAAAAAAAGAAGTTACTTACTTGTATCTAATCTTCTTGGAGTTGTATTAGCTATACAAGCATTCACACCACAGAATGCAGAAGATGAAGAATTCTTTGCCGTTACAGTACCCACACAGTACTTTCTAACACTCCCACACTGTGTACCTGCATAGTCCCCAAACCTGGCAAATGTATACGACTCCCTCTCACTTGCCCTCAATCAGTGAATTTTTAGAATAAGAACAAGCAGTTTGAAAAAAAGAAGCTCATATATAATTTGTGGGCGCGCATAAAGAAAACATTACATAGATACTCGGACTTGACAATACTGGGTAATGATGGTGAGACAACTTTCTTTCAGCAATGAATTGATGGATTTCTTAAGAATGGAGAATGGCTTCAGAGTCTTAGGCAGTGTGGAGCCTCTTAACCATGCAGGAACTAAGAAATCAGGTATTCCTGAAATTCTTGCTCCATGAATTTAACCTCATTAGGAAATCAATGGGCTGCAACCATAAAAACTTCTCTACCACTGCAGGTATAGTCAGCCACAAGCAAATATATTAGCAGATTCAAGGAAGGCATAAACAGTTGTTCTCATTGTTTCATGTAATGTCTAGTAATTTCTATGAAATTCCTGAAAGCTAGAGTCAATCTGAGAACACAGCTAAAGATGAAATTAACCAAAACTCATGAGACCCTGAAGAGTATACCTTTCTTCCCTTCAGGGTTCATGAAAGATTGTTTAAACTGTTTGCTTATTTCAAGAGTGACTTCTACTATTAAGAATGACAAAATCAGCTAGATACCTTCCTTCAGGATTTATTTTTCTTCTATTTTTCATTAACTCTTCCCAAGTTGCAAGATGCCAAAAATTTTATATTGTGTAACTGACACTATCAGATCAATGATTGCAGCCAAGAATGCCATCAGGCCTAAAAGATGATGCAGAATATCTGCACAAGGACAATCTCAGCGTAAGGGAATAATGAAAATTTCATAGAAGGAGAATAGAGCTAATGTTGACATGAACTTCTGAAGGTCATCTAGTTCAGCCCTACTATTCAAAGCACTGTCACCTAGAGCAGACTGTCAGTGTCTTGTTTAGGTGGGTTTTGAGTATCTTGAAGGATGGAGACCCCACAACCTGCCTGGGCCATGACCTGATGTTTGGCCACTCTTACAGTAAGAAGAGTTTTTTCTTACTTTTAAATGGAATTTCCTGTTCTCCAATTTGTGGGCATTGTTCTCTTGTCCTGCCCTTGGGCATCACTGAGAAGAAACCAGCTCCATTTTCTTCACTCCTGCCCAAAGTATTTACTTTGATAAGATACCCACTAACTCCTCTCTTCTAGAGATGAAACAATTCCAACTCCCCGAACTTTTCCTCATAGTTTTCAACACTTTCAAGAAATTCTCAAAAGAGATTAAAAAGTGTAACCAGTCTTCCAACTGGCTTCAAGAGTGAGCTATAAACTCCAGAAATCTGATGATGTTAAGTATAAACTCTGTCATGTTAACAACCAATGCTGCAAAGATGCTTTGGTGTCTGATGATGAAGAAACAAATCGACATGATAATCTCCCACTTTCTGTGGGAAACTGTGAGTGCACTGGGACTGCCCAAGAAATACTGGATGGTTGTAACATGACATTAAATGGCACACTCTCTTGAGAGTAAAAATGGTTTGCTCCAAAGAATGAGGCCCTTGCAGTAAATCCACCAGTTTATGCATACACAATTATGTTACACTTGGTAGTGGAAAGGAGTTACCTTTAAGTGAAACATGTTCTTAAGCTATGAGAGTAGTTTCATTTAAGACCCTCTGGAAGGCACGGAACTGAGAGGGAGGGAACTTTCATGACACTTACTTATTGGAGGCTCATAATCCCTCAATCTGAGCCTTGAAAAGCTGTTGCAAGGTCTCAGCAGTGAGAGTTTCTCTCAAATCAAGCCCAGCTGAAGACATGACAGAATGAAAACAGAAAAATCACCATGAAGAATTCAAGAAAATGTTAAGGTTGCTGATTTGCAGAATAAATCTCCACACTAGATGTAACTCACCCACAGATACTGTCAGTACTGATCATTGGGAGCTTGTCTTTAAGTACAAACAGGGTGTCTTTTCCTGGAGATCACTGGGGCATTTGGGGGGGAGAGGAGAATACTACTTGCTGCATTTCTCCTATGTTCCAAAACACCATGTGGAAACAGCTGACGCTGTTGAGGGCAGTGGTGTCTCTAAGATCTACTCGATTTTTCTCATTTATTCCTGAGACTGCAAGTATGCATGGCAGAGTAAGGAAAGAAAGCCTACTTTCCCAGGCCCACCGATGTAGTGTATGGACACATTACGGAGTAGCATCTTTCCCCAAGGCAAGTCTGTTTTTCTTATGTGATTTGGACTCCTGGCTAAATACTTCAAAGTGATCCACTATGTCCTTGAGACTAGAAATGTCTGATTTAACTGTGATGCACCTTTCTCATAGAAACCTTTTGACAGAATGTTAAAACTCAGTGATTTTCTAAGAGGCAATAAAAATATCAGTAATGGCTGTCACAGGAAGACAATTCATTACCACAAGTAATTTGAAGACTACTGATGAAGCCGAATCAGAGATGAGGCTTGGAAAAGTTCCAGAATATTCTGAGATATTAAGAAAAAAAAGTGGCAATAATGTCACAGAGGGATAGTGAATCAACATGGTTTCTACAGCCACATATTTCAGAGGAATGGAAAATGAGAGGAGACTAAACCATTTTGTAGTTTGGTGCTGTGCACTGGACAGAATGAGCACCAATGCAAGAAAAAAAATTATTGGATGTAAAGTGTGTGTATAGACATAATCGCTTTTTCAACCTGCATATAGACATGCTCTCAAATCAGAGCAAGTATAATTTGTTTTTAGAATTTCTTCCTGAAATATAGCCCATATAACAGGTATCCTTAAGTGTTTGTAATTCTTTGTAAATAATAAGCTTTATGTATCACACCCTGCAGCAACTCTTATGTTGATGTTTCCAAACCACAAGAATTAACACAGATTTAACTACTAGAGATCTTTCTTTCAGCATGCAGGTATCTTTAAATTTTCTTAATTTGATGACTGATCACATAAAAAATATAAGTCTTTTTATACGTCCAGCATTTCTTTAATTGATTATGACCCAACTTGCTTGTAAATTACCAGTGGCATTTTAACTCAGTGCTTCCTATATGATCTGGAACTTGACACTTGAGTATACTACTATTAGACTTCCCTATTGGCTGCAGATCCAATTAAATCCAAGATGATTATAAGAAGTTGCTCAACCTAGTCAATCTTTTGCTAAGGATTTTCTAGTTTTATTATTTTTTTACACTGCCTGCTTATTCATCAGGTACAAAGGTTGAACAAAAACAAAGTGCTGTTGCACCATATTATTTCTTCTCAGTGCACTGAAAAATCTATACATGTGTACATATGCTGCCTCTAGGAAGCAACAGAAAGGTAAGACACTTGTCACATCTTTTTCAAAATGTAGGCAAAGATTTATTAGGATAACTTTGTTGCTAGACTGGAAACAACTGCATCCTGAGATACATTAAAAGTTCAGCAATTACTATGAACCTTGGACATGCAAAGTTGTTAAGTAAATTGTACTTCAGTAGAAAGCCAGGGAACAGTCCGTTTCTTCTCTGGAAACCAGACTACCTGGTTATACAAACTCCGTTACCTCCCCAAATCTGCCCTTTTCTTTAGAAATGTAAGAAAACCAGTAGGAATTACATTACTATTAAATAATAATATCTTCAAAAGTTCTCTGAGGGAAAATTTTTAAGAAAATGCTTCTAATGACAAGGAAATGTCAAGTTATTACCAATGTATTGCCAAGGCTCAGTTTCTTTCAAAAAGCAATTACTTTAAACAGCAATTCTTAAAGTCTGGTTCTAATAAAAAGCTCAACTGCAATTAAAATTACAGATGCTTTCCTGTTCTCCTACTGATTATACAGGTTCCCACATACACAATGCAGGAAATCAAATTTCTAAGAAAACTTCTACCTTTTCAGTAGAAATGAGAGTAAAAAATAGGAACTATTTTTGACTTAGACATTCACAGAATTAATTTTTAGACAGGAAAAGGATTTGTGAAGATAGTGGCATCCTCTTTATTCAGACATGTTAACTTTTTGCTTGAAGTTTTCAAAAACTTTTAACTTGCATTTTTAACTTGATTGTTATTAACTTACAGGCTTTAAAACTTTTAAAATAATATTTTAATATATTTTCTGCACTTATTAAAGACAGTATTTTTCTTGAAATCTGCAAACTACAATAACATTATTAAGCTGTATTTCTAGATTGCTTGGTTAAGGCCTACTCTGTTTCTGAACATCTTGGAAGTGGTATCTTTAAAGTCCAAGTATGCCACAATATCCAACTGTTAGCATGGTCTATATCAGCATTTCTCAAACTGCATCATGTTTTTCACTAGCAATATACACCCTGGCTCCAAAAAGTATGCAGGCCACCAGTACCATCACTGACAAGAACAATACCTAATACAGAACACAATAGCACAGTGGCTGCTGCTGCTATTATCCCTTGTCCTTGCCACTGATAACATCTAACAAAAAGGTTAATGAACTCTTTTTGTATTTAATTTAAATTTCCAATGGATCAGAACAGTATACGTGGCATTTATCTTCTTCTTTCCAAGAAGTTAGGAAGTTTCCAACCTGATTCATTTAGGTGAATGAGGTCAGTCCTCAGACACAGAAATGTACAGAAGAGATCAATTAGACTTGACCAATTTGTTCTGTGACCTCATCTACTGCATGCTGATCAGCAAAGGCCTCCTGGACCTCTTTATCTTGGTGTTTTTTTAAATCAGACTGGCTGCCCATACTTAGCACTGATCACACAACTGACTTCCCCCCCACCTTCTCTGTCAAAGTCAGTGAATAGTCTACAGCTAAGATACTACAGACACTTTAGACAAGTATTTTACAATTTATTTTTTGGGTCTTTTTTAATCTGAACAATAGAAATCTGTGAAGGAGATATTGAGATTCACTTAGCCCACTATGTTCTCTCTTTAGATGCTTAATAAAAACTATAAAAATAAAGGGATAAACTACCTTTTACATAAGATTTTAATTGAAGTCTGGCATAAACAGGGACTGATTTAACATCTGACAGAGATGGTTTACCACTCCTGTTCAAAATGAGCAGATCTTGCAAATAATGCATGATTCGAAGTGGATAGATGAGTGACACTTTCTCTGAGAGATGTTAATGTCATGGTGAAAACTATTTATCAGAAAAGCTTTCCTTTAAATCTGTACAAAAGCTCCAGCACAAGAGATTGAACCATGTTTCTTAGTTCGAAAGATCAGAGAGACAACTACACCTTCATAATACAGAGGTCCAAGTATATGTCACAAGATACATGTTATATTATGGATAGTAAAAAGATTAGAAGTTCAATTTACTAATTAAAAATTCACAAAAAATGATTAATAACTTACATAAGAACATAAAAGAAAACTGACTGGATAAATCAACAATCAGTCTAGTACAGTATTCTGCCTCTGTCAGTGGCAACAAGAGAAATTATTTTCCGAGAGAATGCAAGCCGGAATACATTCTGCAGTTTACTCCTATCATAGTCTTTCAGTACCCATAATTGCTTTAACAGGAATATTAATGAGTAACCTCCCTGCTTATTCATTTTACATATTTATGAAATTGTTGTCTGTAACTTGTCCAATCAATCCCTTTTCTATTTGCTGATACAGTCTGATCACTGGATTTTAGGTTTGGCTCAGTTAAGTGAAAGCTAAATGCATTAATTCTGATAGCCTATGTTTTTCCTCTTAATTTTACACTTCATAGTATTTATGTAGAACAAAATTTATTAAATTATCATTGAAATAACCACATCTATTAATCTGTTAAACTACCACTACAGAGGACACTCCATTTGGGTCTTGGTATACAAAAGTGTTGTTTTTTACTAGGCTCTAAACATGAAACTCCCTTGGCTTGTGATCTGGGCTGGAATGCTGTTTTTGAATCCGGTCACTGCTGACTGCCATATTACTTCTCAAACTGTAAGTTTTATATGTATGTAAATTACCTTTATTTTTTAAAGGTATTGTAGGAGCTAAAGGCATTTTTAAAAACTACCTTGTAAACATAAAATTCCTGAAGAAAGAAACACAGACAAATAAGAAGACAAGGTGTTCTGTGAAATTGACAATTAGCTGCTAGCAGTCATTGTAAGTGCATGAATAACACTCACAATATATTTGACATAGTTTTATATCTCAGTGAAATCTCTCTGCACACAGCAGGAGTGCCTCCTTTATCTTTACATCATTTTGCGATAGACATAAAAAGCAACAGTTATTTGGACAAGGCCAACTACTGCTCAAGTTAGAGGGATTTATTGAGTTAGAAGTTGCCCAAGTCAGGTCCAAATCCATGTAAGAAATTTTAAAGTTTTTTTCAGAGATTAATTTAATGGCGTTTGTATTTACTGGGGAATAGAAGGGAAGGAAGAAGTCTTGATTAAAAGTTCAGTGATAAAACTGGTATTGCATTATTTGCTCTGACTCACTGCCTACAGGTTCAGCACTGTATCTTCTGCTTGTTCATCTTTGGGACAAACATGAACAACAAGAAAACCACACAATAGGTATATACAGTGTAGAAAAGGCACTCTGCCTACATTTGTTTCTAAATAAGCTATCTAGACTCAATCTTGTCACAACAGTGAGAAGCTGAACACAGGCTACGTATTTAGGAAGAGGGATAACACAACCAATCTGTTTTCAACACTTAGAAGCTCCTTTAAAGCCAGTTCAGGGATCTTGACACTAAACCATAGTCTGCAGTGATGCATTCATACACATATGATCTACTCTTTTCAGAAAACAAAAATGTTTCAAGATATTGAGAGTAAGCACTCTCAAACCTGGAAAGACTGCAGCTATGCTAAACTTCAACCCAGAAAATTAAAATTAATTTAAATGCTATATTTATAATAAAAATATATACTAAATGTTTTGTTGAAGGTCTGCTTCAAAGATGATTTAAAGAGTAAACATAGCTGTTTTTAAAACAAAACATGTGAAAAGCATATTTGAATGAATTTTTAGCCTTGAATCCACTTCCTCTATGACACCTTCTTTCCAGGTTATGTGGGTAAGGAATTGGTTTTTTACCCAGCCAACCTTTACATAGAATTCTAAACCAGACAGTCTTCCTAATTCCAAATTAGCATGCCAAACTGGTTACATTTTGTATGATCATCATATAAAAAGCCTTCCATCTCAAATAGAGTGTAAGCACTAAGTGATGTGGAACTTTCGTTCTCTAAACACCAGGATTTATTCCCCTGTATCACCAGGCCACAAGTACATTAAGAAAAACATAAATAAAATTGCATGAAAAGCAGTAGAACTTTTCTTTTAAAGTACTGGTATTAAAAACACAAGAAAGATTTTTCATGCCCTCAGTAGTCATCACAAACACCTTCCTCAGTAGGTTTCCCTACACGATTTAATTGTTGTCATTCTCTTTTTTTCAACAGGTCACTTGTGAGGCATCTGGAAAGAACCTCTCTAATATCCCCACTAACCTTTTCCAAAGTGCTACTACATTAAGCCTCAAAAATAATAAAATCACTTTAAAAGATAGTGACAAAGAGATTCTTCAAAGTTTTATTAACCTTACTGAACTTTATCTGAATGAAAACATGATTACTGTACTGTATAATAACAGCTTCTGTAATCTGACAAAACTTGTAATTCTGGATATCAGCAATAATCATATTAGCACAGTTCATAAAGCAGCATTTGCAGGATTAAATCAACTGTCAGTCTTGAATCTATCCTATAACACAATTGCTCAACTAGATTCAGATGTATTTACTTCTCTAAAAAGTCTGACAGTTTTAAATCTACAGTATAACTTTCTGAAATCTTTTAATATAAAATCATCTTTTAAATTGATTAAAATTGTTTTAGCTGGAAACCCATGGACCTGCTCTTGTGACCTCCTTGATTTACAGATATGGCTAACTGCCTCTAATGTGACATTGGGTAAGTTTTGGTAAGAGCAGCATTTCTTATTTTTTTACAAAAAACAGCCTTTTTTTTTTTTCCTGATCTAGATAATATCTACCATCAACTTATTTGTATTTTGCAGTAAGACATTAGTTATCTATTAATGTTTTTTAGATGAGTACCAATTAATTAACAATATCTCATAGCCTTTCCACTGCTCACATTCACAGAAAATGAAAACAACACCACATGTACATTCCCAAACACCAAGGAAAAATTATCTATCAAGATAACAGCTATCCAACCAGCTGACTGCAAAATTGAAAAAGCTTCTTTAGAGCACATTATAACTTCCACTTCTGCCATTAAGCTTAGAAGTAGAGCCTTACTAACAGATTTGACTCCAAACAACATCACTGGAAACAATGGAACACATGCAGGTAATATACTGGTGTTTTGCTTTACTGCTTACAAGTTGTTTGGTTTGTTGTTCCATGATTTCATATCATTCTGTATTCCTACTACACTGTAATTCTCCCATAAAAGCCAGGGCTATGGAACAAACATATTTCCAGGTTTTGATAGGCTGTACACATATTATGGTGAATGTTAAACTCTACTGAATACATGTTCAAAATGGATAAACCACACCTGAGTTCTCAAATGATACTACAAATTGACGATGAAATTTCAAAGGCTTGAAGTTCAGATAATTGCCCAGATCTCTGCTTAGCAGAGCTAGAGAAGCATCTTTTAAAAAAAATCAATTACTTCTTCCAAACTAATTGCTTTCTGGACGTAGCTGTCTTCTTAAAATATGAAAGTGTGATCCCATTAATTTACTCCTGCCCTCAACTGTGTTCAGTTTAAAGGACATGGATGTGCTCTTCCCATATTCTTTGAAAATTTCAGTGATAGTCTCCTTACTTTTCTTCACCATTTGATGTTAATTACATCATCACTCTGTAATACTCTAGCTTTTCTTTTGGTAATTTTTTTTTTTTCTTACATAGAAATTAATGTTCTTTTCCACTCTTCCATACTGAAATATTTTACCTCATGCTTCTGGCTAAAGCAGAAGAAATATCAATCTCCAGATACATACACAAATTGTAAGCCACCACTGCCACACAGAGAGTACTGCTGTAGCAGCTATAATCTATTTTAGAACAGTGGCTAGCACACAAAATCAGCTTCTACATAAAGGCTACTGGCAACTATTAAGATTTTTATTATAAAAGAAACAAAATTGAAAGGATATGCCAAACAAAATATGTAATATTTTAGGGTGCAGACATCATTACCATACAGAAATTTAAGCCTGGGAAATAGAATTTGAAGTCAATTACTGATTTTTATTTTTTTTTCCAAAGCCCAATCTTGGAATTTGGATTTTGAAAAAAATTTTATCTTTTATATTTCCCCAGAAATTTACCTGATTTTGAATCTACTATTTTCGATAAATATGCATGGTGGATTCGTATTGTTAGAAAATATGAAATGTACATGCATTTTTGGTCTGAGTGATGTTACTGACTCCCCAATAACATAATAATAACATTCTGCTAAAGCTTGGGAGAAAATCACTAATTCCCCTATTATTGTTTATTTTGTGAGTTCTCAATTGAACTATGAAAAAATAGAGTTCTTCCTGGTATTCCTCATGAAGATGACTTTTTTTATTCCTGTCTGTTTTAAAGAGTTACCAATTCTTGGCAAGAGTTGGACCTTCCTAGCGGGTGTCCTAGGGTTTGTCCTAAGTACTACACTCCTGATTTTTACTGCTGTAAAATGCCCAACGTGGTATCGCTATTTCATCAGCTACAGTCACCGTCGTCTGGAAGAAAATGACTCTGAGATGTCTGAACAGGAGTTCTCAGCTGACACAAGTTCTTTTCCTACAGTATCGGGTACAAACAATGAAGATCCCATAGTAATATTTGAAAAAATTCATGCATTTGTGCCTGGGGAAGATGGATTTATTGAGGATAAATACATAGATTCTTATGTAACTGAGGAGAGTTAATGTCTTAAACAATGGATGATGAACCGACTTTTCAAAACTAGTACACCTGTACTTCCATATTATGCTACTTATGTAAAATACACAATGAAGCTAAGCAGTCCATCTCTTTTTATCTCGTCAAATCCATAACAAGGTATTGATTGCTTCATGAGTCATGAAGTTAAAAAATATGATGTGCATGCATTAGTGGCACAACAAGTATTTCAAAACATGCAAAAAATACTCATAATCCACCTTATATAAAAAACTATTTGGTTACTTATGGCTGGGGGGAGAGTTTACTGTATATTGCTTACAATTAACAAGTTTTTATAAACCAGCTTATGAAGCTGGCGTAATCACTAATGCTTTAATTGTGAAGAAGTCCAAAAAGGAAGAGTAATTTCTCTAAAATGTTGAAGCAGATCACAGCTAGACTGGGGACTGAATCCAAATCAGTGGTGTCACAGCTCAGTAGTCTATTAGGCAAAACTAACACGATCAGAGAACAGAGCATTTGGGTTTTTTTCCTTTTTCACCCAAATTATCAGATCAAGAAAGACCCATTGCTCCATTCCCTTAAGTGTGTCTACATACACCACAATGATAAATTACCATTATTATATATCTAATGCCTTTATGCCTTAGTTTTCCGCTGAACCGGGTTTTCTCTCCATATTTTCTCAACACTTAAACATGCCTTCAGGGATATAATCAACACACCCGTGAGCTGTTAAAAACTAGAGGTTTAATTGAAAAGTGACTTATTAAATGGTAAATTGTTTTTTAGAAGTGCTTATTTATACATAAAATCACATCATCAAGATTGCTTTTACTGGCAAGAAGAAAGATGACATCTTTTTCTCCTACCCATCTCCTGTCCCTGAGTTAAGCTTCTCTGAAACACACCCTCTCAGCTTATCACTACACAAGCTGTTCTCATGGTTTACAAATTCTTACTGCAAGCACCTCACTGTCCTCATCTTCCCCCCCTCCACACACACCCCTACTTTACCAGAGAGGAATCTCGGTTCTAGTTCCCACTTCTGCTTGCTTTCCCCACTCTGCTACTCCGCAACACAACCTCCAAAACACAGGACCTTGACAGCAGGTTGCCAAAAGACAGTAGTCTCCACTGCCACCTAACTCCCTCTGGATGACATGGTAAGTATCTCCACAGCAGCTACTCAGAAGAGTTTAAAGCTAGGATCTTCAGCTGCAGCATGGCACCGGTGTATTGTCTTGAAATTACTCAGGTATCACTTGTGGCATGCATTGCACTGTTAAGGAACTTCTGAATCAAGACAACACCTCAATTTTGTGCAGTTCAGTTCTGAATTTAACAGCTTTAAAGAAGGTTACATTACATGCTTTGGAGAAACATACATTCACGTACTTACGCTTGTCTTTCTGTGAAAATTTTATCCACACTCTGAGCATCTCGGTCATTCTGAACCTTTAACTTAAAAGGAAGATATGTTGATATAATATATAATAATAAAGGTACAGATTCTATACACAAAATTAAAGTTTATTTTAAATGAGCAAGAAGCTGCTCAGAATGCAGTAGAGGAAGGAGCAGCAGAGGCTCCCTGCTCCAGAGGTTTTCCACAGTTGATACTGAAGAAAGACCTTCTGAAATTGCAGTCTTCCACTGGAAACCAAAGGAATTAAGAAGGCATCTCTATGTTTGAAAAAGAAATACAGTCAAGTTCGTAACAAAACAATTCACTTACTATCATTGTGGGATTTATTACTAGAAAATTTAGTAAAGTACTGTTTAAGCCTACAGACAGAATGAAAATGTAACACTTGCTGAGCATTCTTCTTTTTATGACACATTGTGACTTTGTGTTTCAATCAAATTCAGGGAAAAAACAATTTTTTTGACCAAGAAATACTCAGGTGTTTTTTCAAGCTACTAAAAATAATCTTTTCTAAAACAAATTTATTTTCCTCATAAACAAAGTGATCAAGAAATGGAAGATGCTTAATGCTCTCATACCTTAATACTTAGAGGAACACTACATGTGTTAGAAAAAAAAGAAAGTAAAGAAAGAACAAAGCTCACTGATTTTGTGGTTAGCCATGTCTGAGACCTATTTAATATTTATTACACTGGAGTCATTTAAATGGCAAAAGACAAAAGAACTAAATTTCCAGAAGACCAGGCAGATTTATAAGGCAGTGCAGCCTGGTGAATTTGCCTTTCATAAGACTAGTGTTCTACGCTCCTAGGTCAAATAAAGAATATATTTTAACATTCATAATTTGGGTTAGGACAACACCCTTCTCAAATCTAAAACACTGAAAACTATCATGGGGCTGTTAATGCAACACTTCAGACAACTGTCCCACTACAGACATGTTGCCAATATTATGCTTAGTTTAACTGGAAAAAATGGGTAAGTTTTAAATCAGTGCTATGCTTTTTTAGATATGCCATACATTCAAAACACCAAGAATATAACACACACACACCACTTCACCGTTCAGACATAGCAAATATCCTAAATCTTACCATATTGTAATCTCTAATCACTTCTGCCATATCTGTATTGGTGTTAAGTATATCCACAACCTGAAATGAGACAGAATTCCAATCTGCTATTGCTCTCCCTTTTTTTTTAATTGCACAGAAAAAAGTTAGACAAATATGCAGCAACTCACAAAGTGCTCATGAAAACAGAGAAATTTTATGTTATTGCAAATGGAAAAACCATTATTGGGAATCTGAACAGATTACATGTAGTTTTCAGAAGTAATCATCATTATATGTAGCTGTACAAAACTCATAAAATTATGCAGCAGTAATTTCTTAAACCCATATGCAACTGCTTCTCCTAATATAAAAGTGTATAGTACACTTTTTAATATTTTCCTTAGTTTCCCTCATTTTCCTTTACAATAACCGAATAAAAGACAGTATTAACCAGTACATTTTTACAGAGTAATGTCAATAAAAAAGACAAAAAAGAAGCATACCATATTGTAGTCTGCTAGCTGACCCTGAAATTCTTTGATTTCACCAGCTAAAGCCTCTGCCCTAAAAACAAAACAAAAAGTCAAACTTAAGGTGAAAAGATTCGTATATGTAAAAATAAAATAATGATTAAAAGATTTAACGGATCCTTGAAGCCTGCACAATACCCAAGAATATTCTTGTAACTGAGAAAGTTAGCACTGCATTAGCTGCAATACACCTCACCTTTTTTCATATGACAAATAGACAGACTTCTCTTGCTTATACATTCCTACTTCTTCCTGCAGCTTGTTAATTTCTGTTGTGAGTTCATTTGTTTTGCTTCTGCAAAAAAATAAACAAAGAAGAATCAATAACATATGAATGTACAACTAAAGCACAGATAGAACAGAAATTTTATTTTACTACAGGAGATATGCAATTAATATCTCTTTCTCACACTGCACCGTGTTTCAAAGAAGATCTGGATAAGTGAGGAAAAAACCAGTTCTATCAGATACAACTGTTAAGTAGTTGTTAGAAAACCTGGATATGAGATGAAAGGTTTAACTAGATTTTTGTCTCTGCCAGTGAAACAGATGTGAACTATTCTCAAATGATCAGGAAAAAAAAAAAAAAACATAGTATCATTTCTCAGAATGTGGTTATCATCCAGATTTGAAAGGACATCTTTTAGGACTGATTAATCAATACTACAATATGATCAACTGACAAAGTAGGCTATGCAATACGGTTTCTGCAAGGCTTTACCTTTGTCAGTGTTAGCTCAATGTATAATCCAAGTAAACCACCTGAAACATACACTAAAAAGTGCTTAGTTTGTGATGCTTCTTTCTTATAAATGAAGCTATCAGACCTATCAAGTGTTACAGGTGAAAGCTCAAAATCACTGACCCTTCTTTTACCAATGCTAGGGGAGTGTGTTTAACTTAGCAAGCTTAGTAACAAAAAGTCAAAGGAATCTACTTGTAGTTGGACATAAGCATAAAATTCCCTTCCTCCTACAAACTATATGCAAAAAGACCTTATCCCTTATAACAAGCCCAGTTTCGTTATAAGTGAACACCACTTATCCCCATAAAACCTTCTGCAGTTTGAATGTGTTGTTAAGACATACCTCAACAGTCCCAGGTAGTATGTTTTATCCATTATCTGTCTCTGTGGACCTGCCAAAGGAGAGTAAGAAGACATTTTGTTAGAGAAAAACAAATTTTGATGAACTGTAAATTATGAAAACAATCCGCAGAATTTGCAGGCAGAAAACTGCCACCTTCTCAATGTTCCTAAATAGATTTTACCTCATTAAAACAAATGAGGGCAGAAATTCACTTCAGACTGTTGTGAAGATAATCACTACTTTTTCAGCTATATAAATACTTACTATCTATCACAGTATTTTAATTGTTCTGCAGTGATGGTAGAAGACACAATGTATCTTGTTCTATTCTTCTGAACAATTTTTAAAGATAGCTCAGGTACAGAAAAGCCTTTGTCTTCTGCCAAGAGCGAAGAAAATTAGAGGGATGTTTTAAGCTTCCTTTCTGCTACTCCTATTAATCATAGCTATTCACTCTGCAATTTATACAGCAATGAAAAGTTTTCATTTAAAAACTTAAATACTCCTTTAAAATGTTTGCAGACACTTTGATAGCTCATTTCAGTAAAAAATACCTTTCATTGCAGTTTTCATTCCACTTAATCCCTGTTGAGTAACTGGACGGTCTGCAACTTTAATCTGAGATGATAAGACTCCGGTAGTTGAAGAACCACGAGAACCAGGTCTTGATGTACTAGGAGGCATCTATTAAAAAAACAAAACACAAAACTCAGAGCTCTGAACTATGAATTTATTACCCTTATGCAATTGTCAAAGCAATTAAAAATTTAAGTTAATCTTTATACTGTTCCTATAAGAATCTTCTAGCATACACATCTCTTCAGGAAAGCAAAGCTTAAGTCAAATGTCTGCTACAGATGGGTAACATTACTTTTGAGCAGCTGCTCGTTGTTCTCTCTGCCTGAAACATTAATGCTATTAAGGTCTCCCAGATAAACTCTTTATACAAGACCTCCTTGACTATTTTCAGTCAAAATTAGAAAATGAAATTATCTACAAAATTTAAATCTTAAAATTTTTCCCGAGAAACTATCACTCCAGTCATGGTACTAAAAAAAAAATCACCAAAATAATGGATAAAGATCTAAATATATCACAGTTAATTTTAAATTTTTTTAACATACCCCTGTTCCTATTCTGGTTGCTGATGGAGTCCTTGACGAAGAGGTAGGCCTTGTGGTCAACCCCATTCCTGCTCTTGAAGAAGGACGAGCTATTGAAGGTCTGTGACTGCTGGCCATATTTGCTCCTTTGTGAACTTCTCTCTGGGAAGGATAGAAATAGTCCTTTAATTTGCACAAGCTCTTTAAAACCACCAGATATCAACTATTTAAAGCTTAATTCTCCCCAGTATTAAAAGTTAAGTTTTCTTTAGAAATCTGCAAAGCACTTGCTTACTGGAACAGCATGGTATGATACAGAGACAGCGCTCAGAAATGACCACAGAAGGTCCATGAGTAAGTCGAGACACTAGTCCCTTTTCGGTGGTTTGTCAGTCCTCAGTTTGCACTGCTAAACAGGTAACTCCTGCTAATTCTTGTCGACATTTATTGTTTCAGCATCTGCCCACAGAATTCAAGTCTCTCATGAAACAAACTGGAAGCGAACCGCTGTTGCAAACACCCATCTGGGTTATCCGTGGGCAGTCCTTCAGGCATCACCGGTCACCAACGCAAACCCAGACTGCGCTACCCCCGATAAACCCTGGCAGCTTCCACCAGCCCCCTGAGGATCTCCTCCCCAGCCGCAGCACACAAGACAGCTTTTCGAGCGCCGAAGCCGCCAGGCAGCTGCTCGGAGGGGCCTGTCAGAGGGTGATACTGCCGGCCATGACCTGCAGCGGCAGGCAGCACCCCTGTATCCCCCGCGGCGATGAAAACCCGCCCCCAGAAAAGCTGGGGGCGCCTGGAGCCGGGGAGATGGCCGCGCCAGGGTCCCCTGCTACAGAGCCGGGAACCCCCGCGGAGCCGCGGACAGGCGCGGGCCCCGCTTCTTCCCGGGCGGCAGCAGTTCCCCCTCACACCCCGCCGCCACTCACCGCGCTCCCAAGCCGCCATCAAACACCCGCCGGACACGGCGCGGTATCGCGGCAACGGCCCCAGCGCCGCGCCCGGCTCTCGCGAGACTCCGCTCCGCCAAGGGGCCACATCCCACAGCGGCCGGCGGAGACTACGCGGCCCCGCCCCGTGGTGCGGTGCCCGCCCGGATGGACGCCGCGTCTCCCGCCCTGGCCGGCGACGCCTTTTCCGGCGCGGTGCTTGGCGCTTTCCGGTAGCGGCGGCGGCGGCGGCGCTGGGCGTAGTTGCTGTGTCAGGACAGCCGGGCGGCCTCTCGCCATGGCGGGCGAGGGCGGCGCGTACCGGCTCCGCTGCTCGCTGCTGGGGCACGGGCAGGACGTGCGGGGCCTGACCCCCGGCTTCTTCCCTCAGGGCGGTTTCGTGTCCGTCTCCCGGGACCGAACCGCGCGGCTCTGGGCTCCTGACGGGTGAGTGCCGGGCTGCGGCCCGGGCTGGTCCCCGCCGTTCCGTCCGCGCCGGCGGGGGCCGGGGGCGGGTTGTTTGTGGCCGTGGGGTCCGTTCGCGGGCGGCGTTCTGGGTTCGCGAACAGCCGAGGCGTTGCCCGCTTTTGGGGACGGCTGTCTTTGCTCAGACAGTTGACTGGATGTTGATGTTTTCAGCGTGCTTTGCAGGCGCTATTATGTCTATAGATCGGGGCGTCTGTTTTTCTCCGGGTGATAGCGGTGTTGTTTCCACCTCGTGATGTTCAGTATCAAAGCAGTTTTGATAGATAGCAGTGCCGCATTTCTGACAGTAAGGCGGTATGCTTTGAATATTTTTCAAGAATTCTTTTTCTCGCCCTTGATAACCAGACTTGAACGTAAAATGGAAGACGAACCAAAAACTACACAGAAAAGTTAAATACACGAAGACATTGGAAAAGGAAAAAAGAAAAACCCACATTATTATTTTCTCTGCTATTCATGTTGTACAGAGTTGTGTCCTACTGGATTTGTCTGGTTGAATTCACTCAGTGAATTTTTCAGCATATTATTGTGACCAGAAGAGCTACTGCTAAGCAATGTGAACAGGAGATGGTGGAGATGTAGGGTATTGTAGGAAGGCACAGGACGTATCTCCTCACCTGTCTATAGCTTCAAATTGTGAACTGTATTCTGAAGCTGCTAGGCATGGGTATTCTTTCCACTGCGTTCCAGTGAAACAGAAATACCTGGCAAATTTGCCAGAATGCTCGCTTGAGTGTTTAAATTATCCCTGTAGCTCTGCAGTTGAAGGGGGGAAGACTAATCTCATTAAGTGCACTTTGTTGAGTCTCATCACAAGGGGAAGAACTTGTTAAATTGCACAAAAATTTATTGCAGGAAAGGAAGTCTAATTCTAAGCCATAATTTTTGAGGGCTGTACATGAGACATGAGTAACTTAGCCAGAGTCACAGCACTGGTAATGATTATCCCTCTCTGCTTTGAAGACTGGGGTTACTGTATACAGGGTTCAGTGGGTAATCAAGCTGCTGTATGTAACTTTTGTTATTTAAATTTTACACAAAGATATGTTACCTTCATTTGTTCTCTGTATCTTCAGCAGGGAAGATGTTTCAGAATTTAGAAGAGTATCATTATTTTGCTACATACTGCAAGCATTAGAGTATGAAGGATGACAGTGTGATATGATAAGTTACGGGGATTTTTTTTGGAGGGGTGGGGAACAAACATGGAAAGGCAAAAAAAACCAAACTAGACCAACACCACAACAACCACAACCCACACATTTATTGTGTGGGGATAAGTAACTTTTTCCAGTTAGTGCTATATCTATTGATGCTGGATCACGATGAAGAAATAAGAGTGCTGCTTGAATCAGTTATAATCTGGCTATTAAACCTCTACAGTGCTCCTAATTAAGAGTCAGTGAACTGATTTGGCAGGCAGTAAACTTTCTTAATTTCCATGTGCAGTTATTTTAGGCTGTATTGGGATACATATTTGAGTCTTGAGACAGCAAAAAATTTCATAAAGTCAAAGTGTAACTCCATCTGATCAAATTGGGCATAGTTTTTGCCAATCAGCAAGGAAAACCAAAACTAAGTTCTTCCAGGCCTACTGTTACTGAAAAACAAGTGGAAAGCTCTAAATATTGCTTATTGGGTTGGAATGCTGGAACATAATTTTTCTCTTAGCTTTTTAATTCTTTCTAGGTCATCATATTTATTCAGCACAATGCAAGCATAGTTATTAATTCAAGAGTTGGAGTATGAAACACCTGTTGTAATTCAGTGCCTCAAATAAGTACTGTTTCTGTCATGACTCTCAACTGATTGTCGTATATGTTTAGTTTTAACAGGGGTTTTACTGAAATGCACTGTATGAGTGGCCACTCAAATTTTGTATCTTGTGTGTGCATCATACCTCCAAGTGACCTCTATCCTCGTGGGCTGATTGCAACTGGTGGCAATGATCATAATATTTGCATTTTCACAGTTGATAACCCAGCTCCTCTTTACATCCTTAAGGGTCATAAGAACACAGGTATGTAGTCATTTTAATTTGGAGTTTGTTGCGTAAAAGTTAATGTGATTTGATAGAGCAAAAATAAAAATTGAGTTTTGTAACTTCAACTTCATTTTTGATATTTAGCATAGCAAACTACTTCATTATGGTCTCTGCAAAGAGGATTTTATAATCTCAGTTTGTGCAGTGACAGTTCATTGCAAGGGCTTCCAAGTTTACACTGAAGAATGCTTAAGCTTTTACTGAATATGTGAACACATGGCAATTTACAGAATGCTTATGCTTTTGCTAAGAGTTGCATTTTTAAGAAACACTTAATTTAGTTCTCTGTGTATTAAGTTTTATGTCAAAGCTGATATAAGAATAGAAAGTCAACTTCTAAATAAACAAATCTTCACTGCCCATTTTGTTACCTAGATGGGGAACTAATACTAATTGGTGTGTTAAATACACAGTAAAGGCTAAAAGCTCACTGCAGAAATGTAGTCACTGTTTAGTCAGGTCAGTGCAACATGTGACATATTAAGCCAATTTTGTATACCTTTTCTTCAGCTATATAATAAAATATTCAGCAATTTTCATATTAACATCCTAAGTTTTTGTGAGCTGATCTAATTGTTAATAGACCTTTGAACGGTCTAATCATGTAATTATAGGATGTCAAAAATAGACATTTCAAGTTGTGGATGTTTTGTGGCTTCTTTTAGCTGTGTTAAGCAATGGCCGTGGATATACTTTTGAAAATACTTTGGACTGCTAAACAGCACCTAAAATTTATTTTTGTATTAAAAACCTCTTGGCTTTCTCTGACAAAGAAAATAATGTCACTCTGCAAGGAGGCATAGAATGGCTTATGTACTTTATCAGAAACCTGGGAGGGATGATTAGTTAAAACAACATGTGACATGCTCCCTCCAGATGTGTAAAAGGGGATGAGGTGTTGTAGAGAAGTTAGATTCCCCTACACAAAAGCATTTGGACCAATTTTTATGATCATGTAAAACATTAAAACACATAAAGTTACATTAATTGTAAAATCTGTTTTAAAGTGGTGAAAAAGCAGGGCATGACAAGTGACAGGGGCATAATACTGTCCAGTTCTCTCTGTGGAGTCACAGAAGCAAGAAGTATAAGGCCATACTTTCCTTTTATGAATGAGTAGATCGATAGGGTATTCTCTGTTTGACTTAGCTATTCTTGTAAATTTATTAGTAAACCTCATTAGCACCATGTGTTTTCAGTTTTATACCCGTGCATTACTTGAGTATTTCCAGATTAGCTTTTTGATAAATCTTTGTCACCACAATTTCTTGGTAGCAGTATTTTGCCTTCCAAGATGATGATCTAAGTATTTTTTCTATGAAATCTTGCTTCGTGAGGACATAAACTAATACATGTTGATGAAATCTTGGCTTTCTCTGTTATCTGAAAACCTTTGCATTAATTTTGTTTTGGCTAGTTACCTTATCTGCTTGTTGACATATTTGTTCTTTGGCTGTTTTGGCCGGGATAATTTTATTCCTAGTAGCTGGTACAGTGCTGTGTTTTGAATTTAGTGCAAGAATAATGTTGATAATACACTGATATTTTAGTTATTGCTAAGTAGTGCTTTTCCTAAGTTAAGGATTTTTTAGTTTCTCATGTTGTGCCAGCTAGCAGGTATGCAAGAAGCTATGAGGGAGCATGACCAGGACAGCTGTCCTGAACTAGCCAAAGGGACAAAGAGGAAGTCGGGTAAGAATGCCAGGAGGCCTGCATGAATGAACAAGGAGGTCCTGGACAAACTCAGACACGAAAAGGAAGCCTGCGGAGGCTGGAAGAAAGGACAGGTAGCCTGGGAGGAATACAGAGAATCTGTCCGAGCAGCCGGGGTTCACGTCAGGAAGGCCAAAGCCCTGACATACTTAAATCTGATCAGGGACATCAAGGGCAACACGAAAAGCTTCTATAGGTACATCAGTAGTAAAAGGAAGACTAGGGAAAATCTGGGCCCTCTCCAAAAGGAAATGGGAGACCTGGTTACCTGGGATTTGGCGAAGGCTGAAGTACTCAATGACTTTTTTGCCTCAGCCTTCACTGGCAAGTGCTCTAGCCACACTGCCCAAGTCACAGAAGGCAAAGGCAGGGAGTGGGAGAAGGAATAACCACCCACCATAGGACAAGATCAGGTTCAAGACCATCTAAGGAACCTGAAGGTACACATGTCCATGGGACCTGATGAAATGCGTTTGCAGGTCCTGAGGGAGCTGGCAGATGAAGTGGCTGAGCCACTATGCATCATATTTGAGAAGTTGTGGCAGTTTGGTGAAGTTCCTGCTGACTGGGAAAGGGGAAACACAGCCCTCATTTTTAAAGGGGAGAAAAAAAGGAAGACTTGGAGAACTACAGACCAGTCAGTCTGACCTCTGTGCCCAGCAAGATCCTCCTGGAAACTATGCTAGGGCACATGGAAAATAAGGAGGCAATTGGTGGCAGTCAGCATGGCTTCACTGAGGGCAAAACATGCCTGACAATTTTGGTGGACTTCTACAGTGGGATTACAGCGCTGGTAGATAAGGGAAGAGCACCTGATAACATCCATGTGGACTTGTGCAAAGCTTTTGACAGTGACCTGCACGACATCTTTGCCTCTAAATTGGAGAGACATGGATTTGATGGATGGGCCACTCAGTGGATAAGCAACTGGCTGGATAGTTGCACTCAGAGTTGTGGTCAATGGCTCACTGTCCCAAGTGGAGACCAACAATGAATGTTTTTTTTCAATTCTCCTTTGCATCCCACAGGGAGTGGGGGAGGAGTGAGTGAACAGCTGCATAGTGCTTAGTTGCTGGCTTGGGTTAAAACTGTGGCAATATTCTAGTCTGAGGAGAAGAGTTCTGGTACTAAGAGGAATTTCAAAATATGAATGGCAAAAAGATGTGAAGTTTTGTAATCTAAAATGAAGAGAGTTTTAAACAGCTCCTTTCTAGGTTGCAGTGCAACTACAGTTCCACTTAATTCTTTCTCAAACTCCTCAACGTTAAATATGCTACTAATACCAAGTAAATCTCCTTAAAAAAATCTTTTTAAGTTGATGACATAAGATTGGTGGCAATGCAGGAAACTTGTCAGTGCTGATTTGAACATTTGTTCCAGTTTGCAGCCTCTCCTCTGGGAAATTTGGCACATTATTAAGTGGATCATGGGATGCAACAGCCAAAGTCTGGTTGAATGACAGATGTATGATGACATTGCAGGTATGAAGTTCTGCTATATGAGTATAAAATAGGTACCCTGAATTTGATACTGACAAGTCTAACAGTGTTGTTTTTTTGCAGGGTCACACAGCTGCAATATGGGCAGTGAAAATATTGCCTGAACAGGGACTAATGTTGACTGGTTCAGCTGACAAAACTATTAAACTGTGGAAAGCAGGCAGATGTGGAAGAACATTTACTGGTAAATGTTGCTGCAGTTGGTAGTTTCATCAGAGTCATGTGTTCTTTTAAAAAGAGAAAAAAATAAAAACCCCACAAAAATGTAGATAAATTGAACCATTTTAGGCAGGATTTTTGAAGTCTCTCAAGTTGTTTACCTAGAAATCACATCACTTTTAAAACAATTAGGGTTTTTTTTTCAGAGAATAATGAGCAATGAATTACTTTTTTTTTTTTTTTTTTTTTAACAATTGCTCTCATAATGAATATTGGTTGCCAGGATTTAGATGTGGGATAAAATGAAATGGTATATATACTGCTGCTAATGAAAAGAAAAGCTGGATTAAAAGTTTTCCTTTCTTTTATAAAGGACATGAAGATTGTGTGAGAGGTTTAGCTATTCTCAGTGAAATGGAATTCCTTTCCTGTGCTAATGATGCTAGTGTTCGAAGATGGCAAATCTCTGGGGAGTGTCTGCAGGTGTACTATGGACATACAAATTATATATACAGCATCTCTGTCTTTCCTCAATGTAAAGGTAGGATTGGTTTTGTGATTATTACCCAACATTCTTCCAAAATGAAGTGACAAGGTAGGTGTTCTGTGGAGCTGCCACAACTAAAGAACTTGGGTCGTGTTTAATTTACTTCTTTACTTTAGTGTAATCAATTAAAAAAATATTTTGACTCCAGGTCACACTTCTGGCAGAATTGCTCTAGTAGTAGGTGAGATGGAAGTTCCTGGGTTAGGCCTAATTATAAGGCTTAAATGAAACCTTGGCAAAGTGATGGGCAAAACTATGATATAGGTTGCCACCTGTATTTCAGAACTGTCGCAGAATTCTAAAATGGTAATGCATGGTTTACCAGTTTTAGACAATGTAAATTTAGATACTTCACAGAAAGTTTTTGAAGTACATTATAAATAGTTTAGGTTAAGAATTTTATGTGTGGGGCTTAATTGCATTTGTTTTTGGAATTAGGGGTTTAGAGGTTCAGAACTAACTGTTGCAAATTAAATTCCAAGTGAGTGACCTTTGCATGGTGTATGGGACACTTGAGCATTTGTTCAGCAGGTAAAGTGCATGTATATTAGTGAGTGTGTATGTCATAAATCTCTTATGCCTTAAAATTCTACACTGAGTTTATAGACTTTTCAGAGAGCTTTATGCAGATTTCCTGAAAAGGCAGGCCTATTTTACATTTGTTTCAAATTCAGATTTTTGCAAAATTGTACGAGTATAGTGTAAGATTCAAAATTGATCGAAGTTCTTTGTTTAAACTCTTGAAAGGAGGAAGGAATCTTTTCTTTGTCTTGAGCATAATTTCATTCCCTGTCTGGCTGCTTAGTCTGTAATTTATGCACTTATTTTTAAGAAGACAACTACGTGGTGACTTTCTTTTGGCTCTCTCCTTGCAATTGAGAAGTATTAAATTGTAGAAAGGTTCTTTTACTATCCTAATCTTTAGATACCCAGTTGCAGAATAGCATCTAGTATCACAATGCACTAAAAACACACCTTTTTTTTTTTTTTTTTTTTTTTTTTTTTTTTTTTTTTTTCAGATTTTGTAACTACTGGAGAGGATCGATCTCTTAGAATCTGGAAACAAGGGGAATGTGCTCAGACAATCAGACTCCCAGCTCAGTCTGTATGGTGCTGCTGTGTGTTAGACAATGGTGACATCGTAGTTGGTGCAAGGTATCCAGGTTTTACTCTCAGTGTGTCTTTAGATACAAATCTGCTAACCCTTGATAAAATTGGAAGCATCATTTTGGATATCAGTTTCATCTATATTTAAAAACACAGCCATCAGAGTGTGTAGGGGGATTAAAATTTAAACACGTGCTACGCTTCATCCAAGAAGTCATTCTTTTGTTATGTGAATCACAGAGATATTGTGAGTTCCTTTGGAATGTGGTAAGCCATGAACAGACTGAGAATGGATTTACAAGTACTCTATAGAGAACCCTTTTGATAGGCATACCCTTCCTTGATTTTAAAATTATACTACAGATATGGTTACCTGCTTAAGTCCTTCTCTGGGTGTTTTTAGCATGAGAGTGAATTACTCTTCAGAAAAATAATTGGGAGGTGTGTGAGCCGATACAGTCAGGACACAGGATCAGCCACAAAACCATGGACGAAATGCAATGAGTAAATTTATTTTCATTAACTCATGACCCTGGGGATCTCTGCAGCAGCACCCAGGCAGAGGCATGCAAGTGGGGTCATAGGCACAACAGAGCTTGGTGCTTGCTAGTGAGAAAGAGAAGAAAAAAATCTCAAACCTGCTGGTTTCACCTGTATGTTAGAGATTTTCACAGGTGTAGTTTTTCATTGTGCTTTGATCTTTCCCACATCGGGCAGGAATCTGAGGCATGTTTGATAGCATGCCTCTGCATCTAGCACAGGCCAGTATTATCTAACCGGAGATGTTCTACACATCAAGTACGCAAAACTAAACAGTTAATGTGATATATGTGTTTTTTGACACCCTAGCTGCAATTCACTTGAGCATGTTTATAATCTTCCTCACCAACTTTCTGTTATATGCCTAGAGAAGGGGTGGTTAGAAATAATGTTGGTTTCTCATGACACAGAAGTGACCATTATAATGTATGTAATAATTTTGACATTTTAAATAGTATTTCTGTTTAAATGTTTTCTCTCCATTCAGTGATGGAATTATAAGAGTGTTTACCGAGTCTTTGGAACGTACAGCAAGTGCTGAGGAGATTCAAGCTTTTGAAAATGAGCTTTCGAAAGCATCCATTGACCCTAAAACTGGTGATTTAGGAGATATTAATGCTGATGACCTTCCTGGAAAAGAACATCTTAAGGATCCTGGTAAATTACTGTACTTTTGTCATGTTAGAGATGCCTCCAAATAACAGTTGGGAGCTACTGATCTTTACACAATTTCCAAAATTAGGGCTTTGATCACTCACAGTAGAGTTTCTGAAGAAAATAATTTTGCTCTGCTATATTTTCTTTGATTCTTTTGAAAACACGACTCTAGATTAAATATATATGTATTTATTTTATTTTTATTTTTTTGGTAGATTAGAGTGGTAAAAAATATTTCTCATCTGAGATAATTTAGAAAAAGGTGGAATTCAGGATGTTGCAGTGTATTTGAGATGTTTTAGATCCGTTATGCCAGCTGTGCCACTAGTATATGAGACAGTTACGTAATTTGTAAAAGGACTACTGAATGTGGAATTTTTTCTGGAAAGAAAAATAGATGCAATTTTTATGCTTTAGCTTTCAGCTTGAAAAGTAGTTTGTCTTCATTGATTCAGTTCACACTTTCCAAGTACTCAAAAGATTACTGAGAATACAGTGGAGGCAGTGGTAGTTAAGATTACTCTTAAATAGACAAATCTGCTTTCCCAAGGTGAAGTAACCAGTGACATCAGCTCTTGCCTCTGATCAGCAAGTGGCATAAATCTTACAATCATATGAAACTTTTCCATGTTGTTAGACTGTGGGAGAATATCAGCTTTCTTGATTGACATCTCCCTGGGAAAATAGTAAACTTTGAAATACTTGACTTCTTAAGGATTGCTTTTGAAACTCAGTCTGGTGATAGATACTATTAGTGTAATTGTAAAATGCTGTTATTAACATTTCTGCTGTTCTTTTTGTGACATGTAACATTTACTTACTTCCCATGCTGTGACTTTAAAAGTTGATGAACTATCTTTTAATCTCTAAATTTGAGCACTACTTAAATACTTTTTTTCTCTCCTGAAGTAAATTGTATTCTTAAATTTGTTCAAATTCTTAAACACTCCTATCTGCAGGAACAAGAGATGGACAGACACGGCTTATTAAAGATAATGGGAAAATAGAAGCATATCAGTGGAGTGTTAGTGAAGGAAGATGGATAAAAATTGGTGATGTTGTTGGTTCTTCTGGAGCCACACAACAAACATCTGGAAAGGTTTTATTTGAAGGAAAGGTATGCAAACTTGAATTGGTTTTATTCCTTCCTAAGTAAAATGCTCAGCTTCCCATTAAAAATTTATTCCAGTCTTTGCTTAGATTTAGAAAATAGGTGTTTGGTACTTTTTTGTCTTCTTTGATCTGTTAAAATGTGGAGGTAGAAGTATAAGTACTACTTGTTTTATTACTGTTGAAACATACTTTGTAAAACAAGCAAGCCAATGGAGACAAATTAAGGTAAACTATTAGTAGAGAAATGATCAATTTCTGTAGTATTTATTGCTAATAATCTGAAAAGTTGGTTTTAACTTCCTTTCCAAAGGAAGTGAACCATATAATTTATAATGCAAGTCTTACCTAAAATAGTAAGTAGCAGCCTTTCTGTGCTCCTTTTGTATTATAACTTCTGAACAAAAGTACAAGCTGAACTAAAGATGGATAAGCTGAAAAATATTTCAGTAAAGGAAACATACACATAAAAGTCTATGTCTGGTGCCACCAGAGAAGGAATGCCTTTTGAGATACTAATTTCATCTCTCAGATGGTTTGAAGAAACCTTAGGAATTTGTTGGTTTCTAATATTAGAAGTGTGGTTTTAAGACTGAAGTGTTTTGAGGCATCCAACTGTCCTGTAGCTTTGCAGGCAGCTAGAGCTGTCTGTGAGAGTTACTTGATGCAACTGGTACTTTTTAATGCATCTGCACAAACATTATTGTGATCTGTTGTTTTAGCCTGCTCTTCATGAGAGAGAGAATTCTGGAAAACACAGTGTGTGGTTAAAGTTTTCTTTTTTCTTTTTTGGCAGCCTGTGTAGGAGAGTATTATTGATACAATCTGCAAGTAACAGTATTAAAGGTTTTTGGCTTAGCCCTGCGGGGCCATTATTAGTCTGCATTTCATACAACTTTATGTAAAAAGTTCTGACAAACTTCTAATTTGTTTTTATTTTTATTTGCTTGAAGGAGTATGACTATGTTTTCACTGTTGATGTAAATGAAAGTGGGCCTTCCTACAAACTGCCATATAACATCACTGATGATCCTTGGCTGACTGCATACAACTTCCTGCAAAAGAATGATCTAAATCCTATGTTTTTAGATCAGGTGGCCAAGTTTATTATGGACAACACTAAGGGGCATACACTGAGTACAAGTGCTGAATTTTCAGATCCATTCACAGGTAAAAATTTTGAACTTAAATGATAACATCAGTCATTCCTCCCAGATTTGTGTTACCAGCAAACTCTCTGAGGGTGCATTCTGACCCATCTTCCAGATCATTCTTAACTCTATCCCAGGTGAAACCAGGACAACTACTCATAAGCTGAACCTCGTTAATCAGTTACAAAATAAACCACTCTTATTTTGACGAGTTTCACAAAGATGAAGTTAGGAATAAATTAAAATAATTGACCTAAATCTTTTTCTTGCAATGAACTAGAAATGAGAATACATGCTAATCAGGTTCAAATGTAACTCAGAGCTACAGTTATGTGAACTTACGCACATACTTCTGACATGGCTTTGTCCAGATGCTTAATGCATATGCCCCGGAAAACAAATTTTTTGCTCTTAAATAGAGAGAATTTGTTCAGGACTGCTGCATGGATAGGATCAGGTTATTTACAATGCTCCAATAAATGGTAAGACATATTTGATGTTTGGCTTTATTTTTGAGCTGCTTCCATGTGAAAAGTACTGACACTTCAATAATATCATTCTGTGTAAAGTAGTCATTACTTTTCCTACTGTTTTACTAGGTGCTGGACGTTATGTTCCAGGCTCTTCATCTGGATCAAGTACAATACCTGCAGCAGATCCATTTACAGGTAATGTTTAATTCATAATCTGTCTTGCTAGCATTTAAGATGCATATTTTATTGCATTCAGTTGCGTTCGGCTCCAGACCGCTGTTTCTTGCAGCTCTCCATATGGGGCAGTAGTGTGGGACAGACTGATAAGGTGGACTTTGCCACTATCTAGGCATGGCCAGGTGTGTTTAGTAGAGGAGAGCCATCTGCTGCTGGGTCTGCCTCATGTCACTATGTCCTTTACAGCAGAGGAGTAAGGTCTTAAACCTTATGTTTTGTCAAACTCTCATACACAAGGCCAACACGGGAATGGGTATATTCGTAGAATTAGTTTTCTTTTTTCCTTGTCATTCCTTTTTTCTTATTACATGACTCTTATTGGTACTTTTCACCCTAATTTAGATTATAACCTTAGAATCTAACTAATTTAAAGTCCTTCTTACTAGTTTAGCAAGTCTGTTTGCAACAACATTCCAGCCCTGCTTTGTCAGACTTATTCCATCCCTGATCAGTAGTTTTTACTCCTCAAGGAGGGTCTTGTATTCACTGGTGCTAAAGTTCTGCCTGCAAAACTAGCCATGCAGTGAGTTGCTGACCCACTTGATGCATCTGTTTCTACTGTAGTATCTTTACTATGCTGGCAGCAGCAAGGAAACACCACCTGGGCCCTTCACCCTTGTCCCCAGAGCTCTCTAATCACTCTTGAAACTCTCCAGGATTTACCTGGCAATATCACTGCTGCCTGAGTAGAAGGGTAATAGCCCAAAAGTCAGGCAAGCCTAGACAGTCTCTCTGCAGCATCCTGGTCCCCAGCAGACACCAACCTACCAAAATAGCAGGTGATGTCAGTAGATGGGTAATTCTATACACTGTAGGAGGAAGCCTCCCATCACTGCAGCTTGCATTTCCCATTTTTGCAGACATGAGATGCAGTCTCAGCTGGCTCTGATGGATCTTCCATTGGGTGTTTGTCCTCACCAGTGCCAGGGCACTGTGCCTGTTCTGCAGTTGTAGATCTACAGGTGGAGCAGAAGTCTTTGTGCTGTTGCCAAAACTCACAGCTTTCAGCATTCCCCATCAGTCTTTCTCCATTTCTGTTCTACTGTGGTTTCCAGCTGTGTCTCCTCCCTTGGTTTGTCTCAGGCTGTGGTCTCTGTGGATGCAAAGGCCCTGCAGTTCCTTCACCTGAGGTCTCAGTGCCACAGAGTCCACCTCTTGCAGGAGAGGCCACTGCTGGCCCCAGGCATGGGCAGCAGTGCCCTCCCCATGGAGCTTGTCGTGGATAAAGTATCTGCTGTGCTGAGGGCCATTGCATCACTGGGTGCTGGAGACCATGCCAGAATGTCTCCCAGATGTGGGTCACTTAGCTTGTGAATGTTGTCAGCACCACCCTCACACATAATAGGCACAGATTTAATCCTTAAATTACAGGAAGAGTTGAAGACTTATTTTTCATTCATTTAGTACAGAATAACACCTTTAATAGTGATGTTTGAAAACTAGTAATTAAATACAGGTATGCATTACCTCTTTACCAGTGATGGTGTTGTCTCCATTCAGGTGCTGGTCGCTATGTTCCTGGTTCAGCATCAAATGCAGTTACTTCAACAGGTGGGTTTGATCCATATACAGGTAAGGAATCATGTCTGCCAACAAAAAGCATCTCTCATCTTTTGCTTCAGTTTTTCCTTTGACATGGATTCTATACTGATGCAAATCTGTACTTACTAGTGTCATCTTTTGAGCCTGGTCAGCAGCTAAATGCCACACAGTCGCTCACCCACCCTCCCCCCACTTGGGAATGGGGAGGGAATCGGAGGGGCAAAGGGAGACTCGCGGGTTGAGATAAAAACAGTTGAATAACAGTAACAGAACAACACGCTGACAGCAGTATCAGCGGGTGATGTACAATACAGCTGCTCACCACCCGCCGACCAACATCCACCTGCTCCGGCCAGCGATCCCCAACACAAAGGCCCCACAGCCACACCCCCGGAAGTGAGAGCCCCTCCCGGCCCACTCCTGCCTTTATATGGTGCCTTTATATGTCACATGACATGGCATATCGGCCAATCGGGGCCCATCCCTCCAGCTGTGCTCCCCCCGCCCCCGCACACAGGTGAGGGCACTGGGACCTGGGGAGCCCCTGGGGTCTCAGGGTGCTGCAGCTCCTCCCGCTGCCAGACCAACGGGAGCTCTAGGCCAGCCCCAACCAGGACAACTAGCAAGTAGACTGAGGCTGCTTATACTCTGGAAATTATTCAGACAATAGGGGATAGCAGAGCCTTCCTTTACTGCAGGAACCATGCACAGAAGCCTTAAAATATATTATAATAATCTGGTTCTGAGAAGATTTTTGGTTTCCTACTAGCTATGTTGTTGATCAAATTGATACATGTAGTTAATGGAAGATACAAAATATCAGCCACTGATTCGCTGTAATTGTAGGAAATCATTACATGCCATTATTAAAGATTTTTATTACTCCTTTTTTAAAAAGATTTCAGGCTACTGTTGCATGTGACATAACTTGGCCATATCTGCAAATCTTCTAGAATATAAAAGCTTTGCCTATTCATTAGGAAAATAATCAAAATGTAAGATTTCAGGAGCAATCTTTGTTCTAAAATGACCCTCACCATTTTAATTTCTTAACTGCAATATCCATTCCTATGAATGAGACTGTATTTAGTTCATGTAATTCATTAATCACCATTAATAATTTAAACTTGTATAGTAAATTTTTACATGTGGGAAGAACAGTTTGTGAAGGTACTGCTGTAAGTTTTAAACCTTGTGTTGTGGTTTGAGCCTGGTCGGCAGCCAGCCACCCCGCAGCCACTCACCCACCCTCCCCCCGCCGGATTTGGGAAGGGGGGAGGGAATTGGAGTGGTAAAGAGAGACTCGCAGGTTGAGATAGAAACAGTTTAATAATGGTAATAAACTGAGAACAATAATAGTAATAGAAAATATAAATGGGCAATGCACAGTGCAGTTGCTCCCCACCCGCTGACCAATACCCAGCCTGTTCCTGGCCAGCGACCCCGAGATACCAAGATCCCACAATCGCAATCCCGGAAGCGAGAGAGAGAGAGAGAGCCCCTTCCCGACCACCCCTCCTCTATATAGTGAGCATGACGTGCCATGATATGGAATATTTCACTGGCCAGTTAGGGTCACGTGCTCTGGCCGTGCTCTCCCCCTGATTCTTGTGCCCTCACACACGGGCAGGACATGAGGAGTTGGAGAGTCCTTGAAATCTCAGCAGCAGCCAAAAACATCAGTGTGCTATCAGCATTCTTCTCATACCAAACCCAAAGCTAAATCCAAAACACAGCACTATTCTAGTTACCAAAAAGGAACATTAACTCTATTCCAGCTCAAACCAGGACACCTGAATGTAAAAGTAAGATAAAGAATGACAGCTAATTGCATAAGCATTTAATTTTTAAAAAATATATTTTTATTAGTAATGTCCAGCAGGAAAGACTTACTGGTAGGATACTGTTTTATGTCAGACACTTTGGTACATGGTTGAATTTTCCATATTTCCTTTATGTAGGAATGGGTGCTTACCAATCAACTGCAGCTAAAGATGAAAATATTTATTTTCCGAAGAAGGATGCTGTCACCTTTGACCAGGCCAATCCTATGCAGATACTGGGTCAGTGTTTTAATTTCAAGGATGGTTTTCTTCTTCATCTGTTTGAAGTAACTTCACTTTTAATCTTTTAAAAAAAGCTAAGTGATTCCCCATATATTTCCTACTGTTTCTTGGTTCTGACCTTTTAAAATTGCATTCATCAATTTAATGGTGCTTGTATTTGAAGGCTTAGGAGTATGAGTAAATTTCACAATAACTATGTAATATAGAAGATCTGTTTTTTTCCCCTCAGCTTATGTCTGCTGTATTTGGCATCTTTTTTATTAAGCTGGTACATTTGAATACTGTACTACTTTTTGCCTAGATGTTGGGTATGCAGGTCATGTGCAGTCTCTTTCAGATTTTGCCATGAAAGTTTTAGTTCACCAGAGCCATACAGTGTAATCTATGAAGTTTTAAAGTTAGGCATTCTGCAGCTTCACAAGTTGCAATGGTCACTTCTATATTTAAGCAGAACACTCTGCATAATAGAAAAAGAAAAGCATGTGCAATATTTAGTAATTATACACATTTTTGGTAAATGTTATTATCAACTTGGTTTTCCCCTCTCTTTTCCCATGCTTCATTCCTATTCTATCTCTTCCTCTATATTTTTCTGTAAATGTTTCACAGAATCCCTACCCTATTTGTCACCTGTTTATTTCAGAATGTTTCTGTAGAGTGCCTTTGTGCATTTAAGGGTTCTGTAAAACTAGTTTGTGTTCACAATGTACCTGCCTTGAACATGTCCAAATTAAAATTCTTGCTTCCTTCCCTCGGCTTTATATACAGATCTTGTAAATCTTGTAGTTGTCTAGTAGTCTGGTGAAGAAATTTAAAACAAGAGATTCTGCTTTTTAGAAAAGAACATACTTTCACCTTTACCCATCTTCTTGAAGGCAAACTCCTGGCCTTGTAGTTATGGAATCATAGAATGTTTTGGGTTGGAAAGGACCTTTAAAGATTATTTAGTCCAACCCCACTGCTGTGGGCAGGGAAATCTTTCACTAGGTCAACTTGCTGAAAGCCCCACCCAACTTGATCTCAAACTCTTCTGGGCATGGGGCATTCACAGTTGCTCTGGGCAACCTGTTCCAGTGTTTTGGTTTAAAACCATTACTCCTTGTGCTGTCACTACAGGCCCTGATAAAAAGTCTCCCTGTCTTTTTTATAAGCCTCCTTTATATATTGAAAGGCCACAATAAGGTCTCCCCAGAGCCTTCTATGGGCTGAATAACCCAAATTCACTCAGCCTTTCCTCATAGGAGAGATGCTCCATTTAATTGATCGCTTTTGTGCCTCTCCTCTAGACCCACTCCAACAGGTCCATGTCTGTCTTGTGCTGGGGACCCCAGAGCTGAACACAGTACTCCAGGCAGGGTCTCGCAAGAGTGGGGAATCACCTCCCTCAACCTGCTGGCCACACTTTTTTGTTATGCAGCCCAGGATACAGTTGGGTTCTGGGCTGCAAGCGAGCACTGCAAGCTCACATCCAATTTTCAATCCCCTAGTATCCTCAAGGTCTTCACTGCAGGGCTGCTCTCAATCCATTTATCACCCAGTCTGTATTGATACTGGGAATTGCCCCAACACAGGTGCAGGACCCTGCACTTGGCCTTGTTGAACTTCATGAGGTTCACAGGGGTCCACTTCTCAAGTCTGTCATGGTGTCTCTGGGGCCTTCTGTCTGCAGTATTGCTCTCCTAAGTATTGTTCAGGTTTCATTTTCTGTTTAAAAATATCAGTCAGACTCTCCAGTCAGCCTTGTCCCGTTTCTCTGAATTTTCTTGTGCTCTGGTATTTGTTCAGGTAGAAGATAAACAATTCACAGACCAGAAATTTTTTTCTGGAGCTTGTCACTACTAAATAGATTTAGCCTCCTCTTAGTTTTGCACAGATTTTGTCCAGAATTTCCTAAGAGGGAGAATGGCAAGACTGGCTGATTTTTATTCTGCTGTTACAGCAGAACAGAGACTTTTACTTAGTCTTAAAAACTACTGCATTTCTTTATTTTTGTCTAGTATTCTTGAAGGATAACCATATTAATCACAGGCTTACTGAGTGACTTAGTTGCTTTTTTTGAAGCTTAGAATATGAAAACTAGGTTTATTGAGTTTCCTGCAGTTTTATAACAGTGCATGGTTAAACACACTTTTTAATATTGTGGCTCAAATGGGATAAATTTGAGAGCTGTATGTTTTTATTCCATAAGAGGCCTACAGTTGATTTTTGTGTATATTATAAAATTCATAAGGGTGTACCAATGTAATGCTGCCTGCCTGTGTGTTTATTGACATAGCCCTCATCAATCCTAGAAGAACCGTGATTAGCAGGTGCTTAACGCTAGATCCATTTTAAGCAAAATGCTGTACATTAAAGTAATTTTTCCAATACTTTGATTTTTAAATTACATTGAATTTTGAATGTAGGACATGATGCAGTCATATTTTGCTTATGGCACATATTTAAGTGAAAATACAAACACCATGATCACACTAATAACATATAGTTTCTTTATTGTTTCTCCTACCTAATAATAGAAAAGAGCAAAAAAGGAATCGTCTTTCAGTTATGAAAACTATCGGCCTTGCGATTATTTTCTGTATTTTTGCCTGTACGTAGCCTAAGATGTGAATTCTGAATCTTTGTTACAGTATTAGAAGGGGCTTAATAGCAATCATTGTGATGATTAAAAACTTTAAATCAGAAAATTATAAGACTGGGAAAAATAATGTTTAAAAATCTGAAGCCCTCCAAAACAATTACAGTAGTTTTAACTTTTTTGTAAAGTGCTTTTGTAGTGTTTCATTCAAGATCTGAACTTGTGAAGTTATGAAGTCAGAAAGCCATGCCTCTTCTATTGGTCTTACAGGGAAATTAAAGGAACTTAATTGCAGTGCAGTTGAAGAACATAAGCTTACAGAAGATGACTTGATAACCCTAGAAAAGTTACTGTCTGCAACATGCAATACCTCTGCAGAAACACCTACAGCACAGCAACTTCAGACTTTATGGAGAGCAGTTAACTGGCCTGAAGGTATACACTTGTAATTGTTCTTTTTTGTACCATTGTCTCATCAATAGTTCACCATGAGCCAAAAGTCTTGCTATGCTGGCTGTTACACAGACTGTGTACCAAAGAGTTTATAACCCAAGCAGAAACCAGAAGATGATGAACAGATGCTAATAGCACTGATCAGTAGCAGGGGTAATTGGCTGTCAGGTTTCGTTGCTGTCAGATCAGTAAACATAAAGGAGAAACTTGATATAAACATCAGTCATGGTTATTTCATTAGCAGGAGCATCCTCAAGAAAGAAGTGTGAGGCTTGTTTGGAAATAGAGCAAGTAAATATGAGTTTGGAGTACGAAGTTGTTTTCAAATGAGGGATGAAACTGTGGAGATAAATTAAAAAAATCTTAAAAGTAGCTCCTGTTTAATGTGGTAGAAAAGAAGTTACTGAAGCTAGGTTATGTGGTCAGAACTGCATTAGTGAAATGACATTCTGAATGAATGCAAGTGGAGGTGATATAATTTCATTTGATAAAGTATTGTTGTCAGCACTGACGGATTGGAAAGGCTATTTTGGTTGTTACCACGCATTCTGAAAAAAAAAATCTAAATATCTAAAAATATCTAAACATGCAGTTAAAAAGAACTGCTTTCTTAAAATTGCAGTTAAAGATTTATTAACAGGAAAAATGTTTTGGTATTAAAAATTCATGTTCACTATATAATATAATTCAAACTATGTTTTGCTCAGCTGAGAGCTGGTGATGGCTAATGTCTTCATACCTTTCAAACTCTTTGTATTGTACATAGCATCAGTTCTCAAGATTCAGCATATCTGCAGGAAAAACTGCTCAATAAGTAGCTAAGGAGGTTCATCTTTGATTTGGTTATACGCATGGGATACCGATACTAGACCCAAGGAGCCAGATACACTTGAAATTTGGGAAAGTCAAGGGGAGCTACTGGACAAACTCTCGGTTCAGTTTCCTTATAGTGATTTCCTGCTGATCAGTTGAGGACATTTTTTTTTTTTCTTTGCAAATTATGTCTCAGAGTTGAAGATAGTCTGAAAATCTTTTTTTCTCATTTTTTCTTTCTGAAGCAGTTTTGTAGCTAAACTAAATTGTAAGGTGGAATGAGGACAAAGGGAGATGGTGCCTGTATAGAGGTGTTCAGTCACTGAGAAACCCTCAGATACCTTTTTGAATTAGTTATCGCATTTTGTGCTTGCCTTCAGTGTTATCAATTAAAGCTTTTATGAAAGATTTTTAAGATTTTTTTTTTGCAAAGCAGTGTTCATCCTAAATTAAGGAGCATGTTTTTTGTGATTAATTGAAGTGTTACTAGAATGGGTTTGTCAATACTTGTCTTTACGAATTTCAAACAACTGGTGCTTTACCTGAATCTCTTTCTGCATGAAACTGTTACTGTCTGTTCCCAAAGCTCTAGGGGCTTAAGAAGGTCTGTATCTGAAAGAAACTCACCAGCACATTTGCACATAATGCAGTATTAATACTAAAATATCTTTTGTATTGTTTCTTAGATATTGTCTTTCCAGCCCTAGACATTCTTCGATTGTCTGTCAGGCATCCCACTGTGAATGAGAACTTCTGCAGTGAAAAGGATCATGCACAACTTATCATCCTTCTACTTAAATTTCTGAACCCTAAAGGAAAGGAAGCAAACCAGCTGTTGGCACTTAGAACTCTTTGCAACTGTTTTGTCAGCCAGGCAGGCCAGAAGCTAATGATGGAACAGAGGGATGAAATAATGACACAAACAATAGAAATGAAATTTGGCAGTAATAAGAACATCCACATTGCGCTTGCCACACTGATGTTGAACTATGCTGTATGTTTGCATAAAGTCAACAACATTGAGGGCAAAGCTCAATGTTTATCAATAATCAGCGCAATTATAGAAGTTGTTAAAGATCTTGAAGCTATTTTTAGACTGCTTGTAGCTCTTGGGACGCTAATCAGTGATGATACAAATGCTGTGCAATTAGCTAAGTCTCTTGGAGTTGACTCTCAAATAAAAAAGTATGCCTCTGTATCTGAACCGGCTAAAGTAAAGGAATGCTGTAGGTTTGTCCTTAATCTGCTGTAACTGTTTTTATTGGCACTTGGGAGACACGGTGTGTTCAGAAGAAAAAGATGCTTGTATTCCTATTTTGTGACAGACTATAAATGAGAAAATACTATGGATTAATTACACTTGATTATTTGGAAGATACAAAACAAATAAAACTTTTTACACTGTTTGTTGTTTGACTGCTTTTCTGAAGTTTATAGTGCACAGGATCTTTGCAAGAAGTCCTTCTGACATAGCTCAGATCAAAATAGATCACCAAGAAGTCAAACCATCTCAGTACTTAAAGGTCATCTAGATGGGTATGTAGGAAATGGCTGCAATTCAGTGACTGTCAACTCAGACATCCATCTCAACCACATTTCTAAGTTTCAGCACAATGAGTCTTTTTCTTCACTGTGCTTTTTGTCAGCAGAGAAGGGGCCCTGAGTGCTGTTAAGTTCAATGACACTTTTCAGAATTGTTAATATTAACCCTTGTCAAATATCCTGGTAAGGAAACAGCATTTACCTGATTTTCCATCAGGTTTTTTCCACTTCCCTTTAGAAACCTAGCAGTTTTATGGCTCTTACTGTTTTTAATCTAGAACTAGGTGGATTTTTGCAGGGTAGAATCTTTAACTGCCATATAGATGTTGTGCTTCACTAGTAAGTCAGTATCTTGTAGCTTGTAAAATGGCTTAAGCTTCTACAAAAGCTTTTCCATGACTTTTAACTTCTAATGACAGTATTCCACCAGTTGATAGCAAATGTCCTAGTCCATGTTGTAAAATATTAGATGATTTTTAAAAAAAAAGGTCATCTTGAAGAGTGGGAGAAAAATGAAAAATTCTGGTGCAGAGAAACGGTTGAGCAGCAGAAATTGGAAGATGCTTCCTCAAGGGGTGGTCAGTGCCCCAGGCCTGCCAAGTGTATAGGAAGCATTTGGACAATGCACTTAATAGTATGTTTCAACTCTTGGTCAGCCCTGAAGTGGTCAGACAGTTGGACTAGACAACTGTTGTAGGCCCCTTCCAAATGAACTACTTCATTCTAAAATGTACAAAGTGCAGTTTCATGAAGCAGCTTTAACATAATGACTGTAGCGACTGGGAAAACACTTTACAGCTATTCCAGCAGCTCCAAGATGTTCAGCTCAGAAGGGGAATGTTATTTCCTACTACTCCTGCAAATATTACACTTTGATTTAGAGTTAAGATGAAGTCAAGATTATCAATGTTCAAATTAGATTTTTCATTAGAGTAATAGAAGGGAAAATATGAAAAAAAATGGGCTTTTCTGCCACATGAGCTCTTCATCACATGACACTTGTCTGCCTCACCTGTGCCAGAGGTGAAGGATTTTGTGACCAAGATAACTGCTTTTGTTCCATCTAACTGAGCTGTCTGAATTACTATATTACTCTCAGCAAGCCTTGTTTCTCACATCCTTAGTTGCACACTTGTACTGTTAAATTTGATGAATTTCCAGATACATCCTTGCAAAACAGTCTTGATCGTGGCCTTAGTCAAAGGTTTTCTCATTTGATCCACTGCAGGTTCATGCATAAGGCAGTCCAAGAGATTATTCAGGATTTACAGTGCTTAACAATAGATCAACCCTGCCCTGGGAAAACATCTAAGAAGCTACCTTTAGGAAAAGTGTCTGTGAAATAATGTGCCTGTCTGTTGAATTTTGGTTGCCTAGTATACAATTGTTTTTGAAGTTTTAGCTTTTTAATGTCATGCTCTTTAACTGTGTTTGTACATGTGCTATATTAAGAAATCTGTACTCATATAACATTTTGGTTTTGTTATTGTGGGATTGCTCTGTTACAGATTACCTCTTTATGTGAAAACTGTAATGAATTTCCCAGACCAAAAATTAACACTTATATTAATAAACATACTCTGGCAACTCTAAGAAATGGTATATTAAGAGATATTACAAAATTCACTTAAATTTGCAGGAAATGTTGGGCCACAGCAAAAAAATCCTTCATCCAGAGACTGCAACACTACATGTTACATATACAGAGCAGGCCAGGGATAGTTGGATGGACAGCTGCTGCTACAGAATACTGTGATACCTGACTGTTCCATGGTTTGGCATTGTCTGAGAGAACAGAGGGAGTGGGGGACAGTCCATGCATTACTATATACCGTGATCACTTTGGGTTTTTTTCTCCCTCTCTTTAAACTATCAACAAATCCAAAGTCTAGGAACAGGAGACGTTTCCCACCTTTTCCAAATGTGTACTGAATAGACTGTGAAATTAAATGTTCAGCAACAAGGTGCTGTATGCAACTGTTGAAGGCCCAAAGGAATATGTGGGCATTTTCAGATTTCCTATTCTTCTAATGGATTTTTGATATTTATTCACTGTAGAGACTGAGTTTTCCATTTTGGTGGGAAATTTTTTTCCTAGACTTTCCAATTGCAAAGATGAATTTGCAAATGGGAACTAAGTCACTGTTGATCTATATCAAACATGGAAAAAAATAAATGTTAAATATGAACTACCCCTTTTTGACTAAATTTTGAAGTCTGTGACCACATAAATGCCAATGTTGTTAGAAATCATTTTATGAACACACCTCATTAGCTTCTGTACTCTGTGTGAACAGATACCACATTCACTGAAAACACACAATTAAAGGTGCAGGTTTTCTAAAAAAATAGCAGCTCAGACAGCTACTAGGTATTTTATTATTCCTGATTCATCTTTAACATGTATCCTGTTTGCAAGCCTAGGCATACACTGCTTAACCTTTTATTTTCTGTATAGCTGCTCAAGGGATCCCACTTTCATCTCAGACTCATACACTCCTTAACAACAGTTCCTAATTACATCACCTCTGCCACCCTCAGAGTACACCGAGGCTGTCATTTTGTGATGACAAATACAAAGATCTATTCCCACCCGTTCAGGTAATCTAACACAGGCTAATCAGGATCAATGCTGACCCAGTGACTGCACACTATCTGATTCTGCAGGGACTCATGCTTAAAGAAAAAAGGAGAGATGATACTTAAATTCTTCTAACCCCTTTGAAAACAGTGTCAACCACTGCATTACCATCTGGTCACAGGGTTTTTGATCAGTGCTAGCTATGTACAACTTGCATTCAGTGGACATCTAGCTAAATGGGGTGATATCACCAATGCTGTTTGAAGATCCAACACAACATGGAATATATCAAGCTGGAAGGCAAAGTGTTTAGGTAAAAAAAAAAAAAAACCAAACAAAAACCCCCAAAAAAACAAAAAAAAAACAGAATAAAGGCAAATGGACACTCTGGTACCTGAAATAAAGAAGAAAATTGTGTATCTCTGCACAGAAAAGGACGTTTTTCATACAAATGCTTTCTGTGTAACGATGCATGTTTGTCTACCCGGGTTTTTCTTTTCAGCTAACTATACTCTTAATTGCTATTTCCCCTCACAGCTAATATTGGTGTTGGTGGCTGAAGGCTGATCAGCATCTTACTGAATTGCACCGTGGTCATGTGTCTTTAATGGACTTCTCTGGTGTGATTCCTACTTGTCTGCATCCCATAAAAAACAGTTTGTGTCACACTTCTGCAATATTCATGAAAAACTGTAGCAGGACGGCTCAGAAGAAGAACTGAGAGTGCTGTACAGCTAGTGAATGATGAGGACATCTTGACCTTGGTGGGCCAGAAGCCTTGGGAGCAGCAAACAGGAATGTAGAAAAACAAGGTAAGGGTGCTGAGCTTTGTCTGAAGAAAACATGCAAGGCTACGGATAACGGAAAACATCTGGTTGTTTCTTAAACAGTGGAAAGCTTTCTGCCTTGAGCTAAAAGTGTGTAAGATGTTGTGCTTGTGCTTGTAAGATTTAATTAACCAACAGGCTTAGGATAGCAGTAACTAACTTGTAGCCAATGAGTTGTCTGGAGTATTATGGACAGAGGGTAATGACCAATCAAATGTTGACAAGTATTGTTAGAGACTGTATAATTGTAGAAGAATTGTTGACAATAAACGACTTCAGCCACGACACCGACTTCGGCAATGACTTCGGCTTCGATTTCAACTCCGAACTCTCAAGCTCTTATTATACCCATCCAGAGTCCCATCTCTCAATCACCGTCAAAAAAAAACACAGAAAAAATATATTTATTGTTGACATTATCGTTCACTGGGATAAGCCATTTTTAATGGTGCATGTCTCAGCAGGATTCAGCAATACATCAAACAAATCGCTAAGAACAAACTTATGGGGACAAAAGGTTACATGAGAACCAGGTTGAGGTGTTTACTGTGATGTGTGACCTGTTGCTTAAAGCTTCATACCAGGGGCTCAGAACAGCAGCTCTTAACAGTTTTTAAGCAAGTCTAAGAGGTGACTCTCTAGAAAAACTGAGAATTAAGGCTAATGTCTCTGCTGGTCAGACTAGATGGACTATAGCAAAGACTAGAACCAGACTAGGCAAACCAGCATTAAAGTATATATATATATATGTATAAATTATTTTTGTTTTTCCCCCCAGGCAGAACATCTTACAGTTCTATTCAGATGTTTTGCAGTTGCCGCAGAGCACAATGAGAGCATTACCTAGATAATGTAATTTGCTTGGATTTTATGTCATCTACTTGGGCTTCCAACAGGCTTTGGCCAGGATCTTTGGTTCCACAGAGCTGCCAGCAGAAGCGAATCAAGACCTTCACATTGTTTACACAAGTTAAAAGCCACGGAAAACCGGCCAGGATTAAGTGTTAATTACGAGGAATCAGAGATATTTGTGTTAGTGAGTGGCTTGCCCGCGTTTGGCAACAGTTTTATTCCCACCTCTCTACCCGAGGAGACAGGAAAAAAAAAAAAAAAAAAAAAAAAAAAGACGCCAGGAAATCAAAGACGCGTCCCGAGACCAGGGTGACGCGCGGCGAGGCGGCCTATGAGCGCTCCGCCGGAAGCGCGCGTCACCCCGCGCGCGCGGAGGCGGCGGTGGCGGGCCCCGGCGGGGCCATGCCGGGCAGGAAGTCGTCGAAGGAGAAGAAGCGGCGGCGGTCGCGGTCGTGCTGCCCGGAGGGAGCCCCGGGGCCCGGCGGCGGCGAGAGGAAGCGGCGGAGCACCGCGCCCAGCCAGGCTGCCGCGGAGGTATCGCGGGAAGGACGGGCGGGCGCGGGTCGCGGCTCCCCGCCGCCGCCGCCGCGGCGTGGGGTCTGCCCCCTCCGCGGCCGCGGGGGGCCGGCCTGCCCTCCCGCGGGTGCCGGGGGCGGGGGCACGGCCGCGGATGGCACACACACCCCCACAGACCCCTCCGTCGCGGCGCTGGTGGGGTGGGTGTTGCTGCGGGAGTACAAAAATCCGCGTGTCGGGCACTCCCGAGTGAACTGGGGGGCTGCAAGAAGGTATTTCTAGCGGGTTGTGGTTTTTTTTTTTTTTTTTTTTTTTTTTTTTTGTTTTGTTTTTTTTGTTGTTGTTTGTTTGTTTTTTAAAACTGTAAAGGGCTTGCAGTGACGTGCGGAAGATGCATTTCCTGATCCGAAGGCCACTTACATTTTCGGAAGGTTATGCCACGCGGTGAATTGCATGCCAGCTTCCTTCCTGTCAGGGTAGTTGTAGATTCTGTGATTAGTGATTTTAATTGCACGACAAATCGAAGAGACAGATTTCTTCTGCCTTAAAGCATATTTCCATGTACAAGCAATGGCTAGGTATTTACAGATAGTGTTTTCTGGGTAATACTTAAAAGTAGTTTTTGCTTCCTGAAGCTTTTAAAATTTCCTCTATCATAAGAATGGTTTCAGTAACCGAAAATGTAGCTTCTGTAATGCAGCTATCTTGCAAATTAAAACGCTGTTTGGGATCTCAGAAGTCTGCCTGAAGGTGTACCATGGCTGTGGTTTAGGCCCAGCTGGTAACTAAGCACTGTGCAGCCGCTCGCTCCCTCCTTTCCCCGTCACGGTGCAGTGGGGAGGAGAAAATACAAAAGACTCCAGGGTTGAGACAAGGACAGGGAAGGCTCACTCACCAGTTGTGGTCACGAGCAAAAAACAGACTTGACTCAGGGGAGGAAGAAAGCCCCATCAATTTAATTTGAAGAATACCACTCCTGCTAATTTACCAATTAAATCGGAGTAGGATAGTGAGAAATAAAACCACATATTAAAAGCAGCTCCTCCCCACCCTTCCCTTCTTCCCTGTCTCAACTTCACTCCCAATTTCTCTAGTTTTTCCTACTCTGTGTCATAGTGAGATGAGGAATGGGGTTTGGGCCAGTTCATCACACATTGTCCCTTCCATTCCTCCTTCTCAGGGGGAGAATTCCTCATACTCTTCCCCTGCTCTCCCACAGGAGACAGTCCTCCATGACCTTCTCCAATCTCAGTCCTTCCCACAGGCTTCAGTTCTTCACAAACTGCTCCAGCGTGGGCTCCTCTCTCCATGGGGCCACAGGTCCTGCCAGGAGCCTGCTCCAGCGTGGGCTTCCCACGGGGTCACAGCCTCCTTTGGGGGACCTCAACCTGCTCTGGCGTGGGCTCTTCCCTGGGCTGCAGGTGGAGATCTGTGCCACCGTGGATGCCCATGGGCTGCAGAGTCACAGCCTGCCTCACCATGGGCTGCACCACGGGCTGCAGGGGAATCTCTGCTCTGGCACTTGGAGCACCTCCTGCCCCTTCTTCACTGACCTTGGTGTCTGCAGGGTTGTTTCTCTCACATCTCACTCTTCTCCTTGATGCAGTTTTTCCCCTCTTAAATAAGTTATAGCAGAGGTGCAGCAACCATCACTAATGGCTCAGCTTTGGCCAGAGGTGTGTCTGAGTTGGAGCTGGGGGAGCTTCAAGAAGCTTTTCACAGGGGCCACTGCTGTAGCCCCCTCCCTCACTACCAAAACCCCACCACACAAACCCTACACAGCCTTGCAATTATAAAGGGAAAACTATTTCAAGCACAAATGAAGCTGTAAGTTTCCTTCTTCTCTAGCTCACTAGAATATGTGAAAATTGTACTTGTTCTCCCTGATTTTAGGAAGCAAAATGTGTTGTGCCATCTGGAGAAAAAGTGGAAGAAGCTGAACAACCCAGTGATATAGAAGAAGGAGGCTTAGACCTCAGTGTGTCACTCAAACCTGTCAGTTTCTACATCACGGACAAAAAAGAAATGCTTCAGCAGTGTTTCTGTGTCATAGGGGAGAAGAAACTACAGAAGATGCTGCCCGATATTTTAAAGGTACTGAAATACGCTTCCTGTTTATATACTTTTTACAACCTTGAATGCTTGTGTAAAAAAGTGCATTTATCTCTCAAGTCTAGTGGACTTCCATATTAAAAGCTACCTGTGTCTTAAATAAAGATTATATCAAGTCTCTGGAAGGGCAACATTTTAAAGATTTTCTGTACGTATTCCAGCTTACTCCTCTTCACTGCTTAACTATTGCTGAACTGCAGGCTTCTTATTTTTATAGCATCTGTCTGTACTGGTTAGTTAAATGCAAAATGAGTTTCATAATTACATGGAGTAAATTCAGTAGTGTTGTTCAGTAATAAATATGCTGATCTGTTAATAAAAGTTTGATTTCTGCTTGTCAGCTGAATGTATGGTATTAAATTAATGTCTGAGATAAGGCAATAAAACCCCTTCTTGATAAACAGCTTCTGAAGCTGTAACTAGTGTGGGCTTTAGTGGTTAGTGTTGCTAGAGTCTTACTGGCTTAGAACATACGCTTTTTGAGTCTTGTGAACAGCAGGACTTGGTAAAAATAAATTGGGCTAGCAGCCTGTACCGAAGAAGATGCTGCAGGTGAAATGCCATTTGTGTAGTATTTGTTAATAGTTTTAAAATTTTTGTCTTTAATATTAATCTTTATGAGTCACTATTAATGTAAGTGAGGCAGGACTTTTTTATTTTAAACATCTAGTGAATTGCATACAATCTCATCCATTTCTCACCTCTGGGGGAAGAAAAGAGGTCTGGAGCAGCTGGAGGCAAAGGCATTACTGAGTTTGAAAGGAAGTTGCCTGGTGGTATAGAACCAAACCTATAGTAGGGTCATGAATGTTACAACATGCTCAGCACTTCCTAGTTTTGGTACTAGTATGTGTTATCATAGATCATTTGAAGAAAGTGTAAAATTATCACTTCATTTCACCCAGAGGGCACCAAGTGGTATGAAAGATATGAAGGTAGCAGAAATATCCATAAAATCTGTGGCAGCATGTGGTATGTATCAAGCATGAAAAATGTATCACAATTTACATATTTTTTGTTTTCTTTATCATGATATACAACTGTTGGTGTATTGTCAGTAGCACTGTGTGCTTCAGTCTGTGAACTTGAATTCAACAGGTGGCTCTGGTCTTTGCAGGCTTAATCACATAATTCGCCCGCTCCTGAATGATGGACAATTAGGGGTAATCAGGGCTACAGTTGTTTGCTGTTCCATGCTTCACACATAAGGCCCAGTATTTCTACTGCTCAGTGTTGTAGCTGCAGTGAAAACTAAGCCACCGGTCAAGTAACTGATAGTGTGTGTTGCTTAATTTTTCAGAAAAACACGATTTTTGGTAGTTGTCAGAAGTGAAACACCTACCAGGTGTTCTTCAGCAATTGCCTCAATGCAAGTCACAATAGGGAAGTGACTTGCAATCTGACTTAACTCTTTATTCAATACAGCTGGAATACTACTTACTGTTCATAATTACTCTGTCCTCAGAAATTTTTAGTAGCTCATGGTCTCTCTTATCTGTCTTAGAACTGTTCCATGGATGAAATCAAAAGGCTTTGCTTGGAGCAGTTGGAGCTGTTATCTGAAAAAAAACTGTTGAAGATATTTGAAGGTATGAATGAAACTTTTAGGCACCACTCTACACGAGAGAACAGTCTGCTTCTAAACTGGATTTTTCACTCTGTTTCTAGCTACATACATGTGTATATATGTACACACTAATAAGTATATATTAGTGTGTGTATATATACACTTGTTAATAGTGTATAGATATTGACTGTGTGTATATATACATATATATATATATGCTGGTTTTGATCTGTTAAACTTGGATTACATAATCCATTGATTTAGCAGCAATTAAAGATACATTCAGAAAGCAGTAGTATAAGCTGCTTTTCCTTAATACCCAAACTAAGAAGCAAGTCTTTTGACTTGGTGGAAAAAACAAAGCTAGGAGTGTAGAAGTATTGTTTGAAATCCATTATTTTAGGTAAACTGACATTAAGTTGCCTCCTGGTTCTCCGCAGCGGATTCCTGACACACTGCAATACTAATTCAATTGTATTAGCAATTGCACTAGAATATTTGGTGTAGCTAAAGGATTCTTGGTAGATCACTCTGCTCTGCTGAGACACACAGTTCATGTACTTTGATTAAGGATATGACATTCCAGCTTTTCAGTATCTTACTGAACTTCTACTTATTATTGAAGGGCTGTAGAATTTTTTCATAAACATATTGCTGTCTTCTCAATTAAGTGGAACTCTTTGAATCTTCAATGCTGCAGAGTGCTTTCTATTAATTCTATCTCCTGTGCTTTATTTTTAGTGCCTACAGTAAAGTACTAGCAATAGCTATTCTGAGTCTTTATAATACAGAGTAAGTGAAGAATGCCAACCTTGTGGCTAGCAGAAGACTCACAAATAAGGTTTTTGGTTTTGACTAAGTCTAATTTTAGAACATCTGCTTTAACTGAGGAAAAAACTCTTCTGCTGATTGCAGTAAAGTTAATAATTAAGAGTAAACCTAACTATATAGCATTAATTTATATTACTTGCCTAAATTTTTGCATTTGAAACTCTGTATCTAGGCAAGATTGGAGCTGATTCTGATACTGACGAGGAGACAGATGGAGGAGACAAGACTGGAGGTGAATCAGTCAGTCAGTGAGTAAAAGACAAAACACTTTAAAAATTAATTTAAGAATACTGAACAATACAGGGATTTTTCATGAGAAATTAAAGACCCAATTGCTGTATCCTTCATTATGTGATTACTTTAGTTGAATGACAATGAGCTATGACTGCTAGCAAGCACTGAACTTATAAACATGGCTTTGTTACCTTATAACATTAGACGTGTTTTGAGCACGTAACTCTGTTTCATAGTGGTGTTACTGCTTATCAGTTGAATTGTGGTAATTGAAGATGTGCACACTCCTAGCCTGCATCAGAAGGGAAGTAGTATGATTTAGGTTAACCCTCTTTGTGCGAGCTAAGGCAGGTTGAATAATCCCTTCCCACTTAGGTCAGTGAATTGTGTATTTTCAGTTCAGCTGAGCCTTCTCTTCCACTCTTCTTTTTGGTCCTTCATTCCTGCCCCAATTGGAGCAGCACCAACACTTGCCTGTTCCCATGTTCTCTGTTAGGGATGCTGTAGAATGTCTAGAGTTTTGAGAACAGAGCCGTCTGGTTTCTTATTCCTAGACTGGCATCTGCCAGTTTTGTAAAAGCTAACACTTCTTAACCTTTTCTTAAAGTACTTGTCTGTTTTTTAAATACAAGTCTTGTGTAGTATATTACTAAGTCATTTCATTTTTGAACTGGTGAAGTCTTTCTGATCGTTTCTGTGGAAGTAATGAAGTGGAAAAGAAAGTTTCTAGTTGTCACCCACAATATATCAAATTTTATGAGTCTAACTTGCTTGTAGAAGACAAAATACAAAGCTTTTCTGGTTTTCTTGCTGACCTGATTACATCTAATCCACAGATTCAGTGCACAAACTTAATAAACCTCAGAGACAATACAAGACAATAGACCAATGTTGGGCAGATTAAAGTACCTCTTAGTTGCTAATTTGGTTAGTTCATCTAGACCTACTAAATAGGAACAAATCGATGGGAAAGGTAGTGTTAATAATCCAATTTTCACATTCTGGTCAGTGTTTTTGATTTAATAGAGACCTGGTTTCTGATCTGTCTTTTATTCAGAACAAGTTTTGAAGTTAGTGAACAAAGTAATTTTCTTTGATCACATCTCATTGTACATCATACAAATATATTAGGAAATGGAGTGATAGTAAGTGATGTTTCAGTTTTTATCATATGATACAGTTATAATACCCCCGACACTGTTTATTCTAGTGTTTCATTTGGAGACGATTTGTGACTGTATCCTCTGCTTTACTATTTCTTGCCTACATGATCTGTGAATGTTGTCAGTACACCCATTTATGTGGACTAATTTTCTTATTTTATACATTTCCCTCTGCTGGCTATTTTAAAAAGCAAAATAAAACATACAAAAACTACAAAATACACTAAATATTAGGTCTCTCTGTGTCAAGGAGTCTCTGTTAAGTGCTTGGTATTTAGCCAATGAACTTCTAGATAAAATGAGAAGACAAACCTATTGGCTAAGGAAGCAGTGAAAAATGCCCTAGGATTTTGATTTCTGGAGAAGTTACATGATTGTTTTTAAGGCCTGATTCACGAACTCTTCACTATTGCAAAATACATTAAATGTTCTTCTGATTAAAGAGATACGGCAGGATTAGTGCTGCCTAGATTTCAGGAAGGCGGTTCTGTGGCTGCACTAAAAAGCTACTTTTGGGACATGTATTTATGACAGTCAGCTACAGTAGATTGAGTGAAGTATTGCTTATATGCAGATAAAGTAGTGATTTGAGCTGTTAAAAACCTAAAAAGGGGGAATTGTTATTGTCAGTTAATGAATAAAACAACAAAATAAAGAAAGCAAGCAGGATTTACCATTTTTTAACGAGCAGGTATTTGAAGGCACTTAACAATGCATTTGCTCATGTCAAGTAGGAAAATTTCAGCAAAACAACATCTGTAGGATCTAAATTGCAGTCTGGAAGTCTGCTGTTTTTACACTGTACAGTTAATATTCCAGGCATAAGCAGTGGGTAAAAAAAAGTGAGTTGGTATTGTCTACCTGTTCTCATAGCTGTGTTGAAGTACAGCAGAATTAAAACTGACCAAGTTCTTTAACCATTACTGCAGTTACCAAAAACTGATAAAGCTGGGTCACCTTACATTGCTGATGAAAGATGCGAGTAGTAACTGATGTCAAAATCAAGAAGAATTTGTGTTTTAAAAAAAGTAAAATAAACTGAGATATGTTGATCGAGGTTATAGAGTAGATTACTTCCTTTGACAAACAGAATGGTTGAGGTGCCCCTGATTCTTGTATTTCTGTCTCCATCATGATAGTTTCCTATTTCAGACTCCTCAAAAATGGCCAGGAAAGATATGTTGGTGTAGGAATTGGGACTTTTCTTCTCCCTTTAGTGAAGTGGATTAAAAAATAGTATGCTATAGACCTGGGTGCTATCTCAGAACCTTGTGTCATAGCTTTAGCTGTGTGCTAGCTTTATCAAAATGAATTTTTTGTTAACAAAATGTAAACAAAAAGGGAAAGCTACTTGAATGTTAGAGAAATAAAGGGATGGGAAGAAATAGGTGAAAAGAGGAAAAGTAAGGTTTTAGATTAATCCTTAAGCCCAGTGCTCAGTAAGTAGAGCAATATTATGCTTTTACAACAATAAAATGTCACACACCCTTTTTACTGATTAGGTCTAATCTTTGTGCATTTAAGTTAACTTTTTTGCAACCTGTGTGTAAATAAATCTGAATTCAAGTTTGCAAAACTTCAGGAAACTGCATTTTGGACAGAACAGCAGTGAGTCAGTAGGCAGGGAGGCTAAAGATGCAACAGTGAAGAAATAGTGAAAACTGCTTTCCTAAGCTAGACTTTGGTTGTTTGTAATCATGAATATGTTTTTAATCATCATCTGAGTTTAAATGGGTGAATTTATTTGCCGTGGGAAGAGAAAAGAATTTTCAGAATTAAAAAGGCAGTTTATTTGTTTATATTCTCACTGTTGGTTCTTCCTAGTTTGTCTTCATTACTTGTAGTTTTCTTGTAAATTACTACTTTTTTCTGCGTCCTATTAATGATGCAATACAAAAGATTGCAAAATTCAGATTTTTATTTGCTTTTTACTGCTTTGCAGTCATGAGTTCAGTTTTTGCTTGTTTTGTTTTAGGAAGGTTAGCAATTTAAAAGCTTTCCTTGTTTTAACGTGTTTTGCTTCTGGGTACTGGGCTGTTCACAAACATGCAATTGCCATCTGATATTTGCCCCTCTAGGATTGTTTATCTTCACCGTTTGGAATCACTGAAAGAATAGGCTAAATGAGTCACTGAACAGATACATTAGCATTTGGAATCTCTTCACTGTCTTCTGTTCTTGTGTCCTCAAACTTCACCTGGAATCAGACTGATGGACCTTTCGTAGTTCACTAAACTATTTGATTAGCACCTGTCATTTGGGATATCATTTCTGAGGAGCACTACTTCATAAAGACTTTTCCTTTTTTTTTTTTTTTTTTTTTTTTTAAAGTTGCTTGCTGTTAAATATTTTAGTTCCTATTTGCCATGGAAAACTACCCTTGTAACAGAAGTTTGCAGGAAGCTTACAAGGACTTGGGACTTCTAGTAATATTTTTTTTTTAGACACTAGACTGCAAAGGCAAATTACAATTTAGGGAAGTACATCAACTTTATATCAAGAGGAGCAGAGGTACTGATCTCCAGCCTAATTGCAGAGATTTAGGTGAATGTTTCTTAATGACAGTTAAAAGCCCTGTATGGAAAGTATCAGAATGACTGTATCTCATGTTGTCAGACTGTCCTGTAGCCTAGTACTTTAAAGTATTTTTTTCTGTCAGAAAACTTTTCCAGCTCGTCTCCAGCCCCAGTTACTACTGAAGCTTGGAATCTCAGACACCAGTATCGCAGTGCTGTTGTCTTAATCCCTCGCCATCTACTCCTCTGACCAGTACCCTTTTTCCTAATCTGTGCTGCTGCCTTACTTTACTCTGCATAATGTGCTGGAGTTGTGGTACCAGATCACACGCAAACCCAGATTTCTTTGATAGTTATGCAGATTCCTGAAAATAATAGATTCTGCACAGAATGCATGTGCGTTAGCCCAGGTAAGCATTGAACTAGTGTGGAGCATGACAACTTGAAAATCTAGCATAGGACAAATTTAAATTTACCTCATTTGTCATCAACAAACTGTAATAGTTAGCTTCTTTCTGCTGAAAACACACTTCGCAAATGTTTTCTATTTAAAAAACAGAGAATACTGAGTTTATCTCTTGGAATGGTGACTTTGAACTTAACTGTCATGCTGGCAGAGAAGTACCTTTAAAGACTGATAAAGAGGGCTCTCCAAATTTCTGTGGTCACTTACTAGCATGGCATGAAAGAGGAGGGTATTAAATTTGTATACTGTGTCTTAATTTTAGGTTAGCATATCTTCTGCTCCCATTGTTTGGAGACATGCTATTTTCCTACCCTTTCTTAAATCTATACTACAGTGTAGATAATTAGGAAAAAAGTATTTCTTACTAACAAACAAATTAAACAAGGTTGAGAGCAAAACTGAACTGTGAACTGAAATGCTTCAGTTTGTCCACAAGATGGTGCAAAACGCCTGCCTATGAGACGAGGTAGTGACGGTTCACCAGCAATACAGTCCAATCCAATCAATTCTGAAAATGTGCTGCAAAAGTACTTTTGAGTTCTAAAAATTCTTTTGCTGCAGTAGGTAGTACTTAAAGGAATGTGATTGTGCTGTGTAATCGGTTATAGTGTCAAGGCAACAGGAGGAAACTTTACCACAAGTTTTGATGTATGATTTTTTTCAGTTGGTAGGTTTTTTTTACACAGCTGTTAAAATGGGTGTAGGTAATTTCACAGCCAGTGTTTGAACCATAGAGGTCACAGAGTTTTCTGTCAAAGGAGTGATTATAATCCATCGGTGAGGTTTGGCCTTGGATCTCAGGGCGATACCAGAGATGTGAAGTTTCTTGCCTGGATACTATTTGTGCAAGATCAGAATTTCCCAAGTGACACGCTGGTGTGCAGTGCAGCAGTGATTGTTCAGTGCAAAATGAAGAAGCATGTGTGTGAGAGGGAGGATGGGGTAGGGTCAGCGTAAGCAGCTTTGGCTTTTAGTGATGAGCAGGGTATATCACAACATTATTTTGGTCAAGCATTGAGTGACTAAGTATAACAAAATATTGAGAGTTGTTAAAAAAAAAAAAGTGGATCCTTTCAGATCTGTAGACCAATAGCTGGTCCCAGATCCATTGCTCTCCCCAGGTCCCTGAGTTTGCTAACTTGCAGACCCTGGTCTCTTTGAAGAATTTGGCCTCTAATCTTACAGTCTGTTTGGTACCTGACTCCCAGACCTCTCATCCTACTTGATGGCTAGACTAGCCTGAGGTTTGGTGGTGAATTACAAGCATCTACATATACACTGATGCATGACATTGAAGTTCTCTGAGGTAGTGTGCACATTTTTCATTCTGTCTAGTTTCTGGCAGCACAGTCCTGCAGTCCCCTGTGACCGATAGTCCCCTTCACAGTTGTGGGCACTTCACATACATACATGTGTACATATACAGAGATTAGTGTGCTTTCATTTGGAACTATAGTTAGTATAGCAGTAGAGTTAAAGAAGGCGGCAGGACAGACTGTGGTGATCAAGTCCAGGGATTGGCCAGACAAGTGTACTGACCAGCAACCTGTTTATGCTCTTCTGGCCCTTCATCTTTTTGTTTTCTCTTTTATGGCCCATGCTTGTTCTTTGTCAGTCCGCCTTGGTCTCTCCCTTTTCTCAACTTTGGTTCTTCCTCTAAACATCCCATGCAACCTTACATGTTCCTACATTCCTGTTAAAAATGTCTGCCAGTACATTTTATGCAATCCTGAAATCTCTTCCTCAGCATCCTATACAGCCTCCTTGTTCCTGTAGTCAGTAACACCCTTCAGGCATGCGAGGTGATTTCTCTAGCTGACTGCTCTTACTAGGTTTCATTCCCAGAAAATGGGCTAATTGCTCTCCTTTCACAGCTTGGGCAGGGTGATCCCTCTGCACTGATGAAGTTACTAAGGTTCCTCTGCTTGCCGTTTTCCTCTGCTCCTCACTGGACCTTTATACTTGTGGTGACTCACCATTAAACACATAACCTAGTAGACAGGACAATACAATGGAGAACTGAGTGTTATAAGCTTTGGCAAGTGACAGGAGAACAAATCCTGACATTTCTGGGGAGATGTGCTGTGACAGCATCATGGATAAATTTAGCTGATGGTCTGTGTTGTCATCTGGCCTAACTCCATGCAGCAACATAGGTAGGTGGGGAAATGTTGCTACCCAGGAGTCTGTCACTGTCTCAAAGCAGAGGACCATTTAGGCTTTGGTCCTAAGCTGCAGCAAGGAGCCTGGCACTGAGAGTACTGAGGTGGTATTTCCCTTGGGTTAGGCTGTGCAGGCCTGCTGGAGTGGTAATTGGGGTGGGTATCAGTTAACTCTTGACTGTATGGATGTGTGAATGGGTGCAAAACTTTTCCTTACAGCCTATCCTCTGCTCAAGACTCTTAACAAATTGAACATAGTAATGTCATGTTACCTGGTGTTCCTTTTCCCCATGACAGCAGGAAGATTGAGACTCTGGTTAACATGTCTGAATCATCACATACAGCAGACCTAATTTTATTTGTTGAATTCCTGGGATTATTTTCCATCTAACAGGTGAGGACTGTAATCCATTTTGCAGCACCTCTGGCCTTTGTAGTAGAAGACTGATGTCTGGAATAGAAAATAAACGAGCAAACTCTCTTTGTTTGTGAAGAGACAAAGTTTAAATAACTTTCTGATGTGGTTAGCCGTATATACAGAACTCAGCATAGCTTTTTGAATATTTAGTTTGTATCCATTCATTATCTTTCAGCCCTGCTTAGGAATGAAAGCCCAACAGAAATTAAAAGGTTGGGAGAATACTTATTGAGTTGACCAAGTGGGAAAGCAAACTGAAAGAATACCTGACACAAAATTCTAGGAAAAACACATCACAGTAAATATTCTATTCCCAGTTTTTTATAATGGCATTGGACAGTAGGTTTCTCTTTTTTTAAGATGCAGAACATTTAAAAAACACTTTTTCAGGTGCTATATGCATATGAGAACAGCTACACATTCTCCTTAATCAATTATTGCATGCTACTGTACACATTTATGTTGCAATGGTCACAAAAAGTGGAAGAAACAGAGGAGTCTGATTTGTAACCTTTGCTACTACAGAAAAGGAAATAGCAATCAAAATAACTCATCTGTCAGACCAAGATGGTAAGAAGTATTACGTTGTTCTCCCTCCTGACATAGCCATTGGACACCTGAAAAAATATGTCTTTGAGAGTATGGGGAAAATAGATCTGTATTCAATTTTAGGAAAAGCCTTCAGGCCATTACTGAAAAACAAGTTGTTAAAGTCATTATATTTACATCTGTGACAGCAGAATAGTACTATCCTTTTTATAGTGCTGTTCAGCACCCACAGGCAGGATAGTTGCATTGATTCCATATTGGTATGTAAGAAACCAATGCCACACCAACATTCAGGATAGGAAACTGACAGTTCTACTGTCAAAATGCTCACTAAATGTGCCAACTGCACTCTTCCTGTGATCCTGGGTCCTTCTGCTTTCCTTCTTGTGTGTTTCACAGTTTGTATAACTAGTTTGTGCGAAATACTTGAAGGACATGAACATTTCACAACAGTATCTCATCCTTATCCCCTGTGTAAAGCAGTTGAAACCTAACAGGTCAAGGGTAGAAATCTTTAAATAGAAGAAACAGAGAAATGCAGATGCTGAATACAATTTAACAGTTGGGTTGCATTTTGTTTCAAAGTGTCACTTTGTGAAACTATGAGATTGTGATGTAGGAGAGGTTGATGGTGGTGGGGTGATGGTATCTTCATGAAAATAGCTTCTTAATTTCAAAACAAAACAGTAAATAGTAACTTGATGCAACTAAAACTATAGTTTTTTTAAATCGTATAACTGTGTGACAATTTATTCTGAGGTTTACAGAAAAGCTCCTAGTATCACAGAGGGGCTACCATTGAGGATTGTTATGCTGAAAGGCTAGGGTGTAGTGGAAATAATTACTTTATCCTTGTGTGTTGCTAGGCAAAGCAAAAAAACCCTCATTCTCAAGTGCTTAGATTAGCACTCTGTATGTTCCTTTTGCCTTTATTCATACTGTAGCTGACCTGTTGGCTTACCACCACATAAGTTCTTTAATTAAAGTAGATGTTTCTTAAAAAAGTTCTCTTAAATTGTAAAAGACTTGGATTGAAATGTCATCTTATTTGTTTCTAGACAGGACAACAGTATAGACTCTACTTCTTCTGTCAGAGAAGACAACAAGCTGGAAGGTCAGGAATCAAAACAAGGTATGTAGTGGAGAAAACTGAAAATTTGTTGTCTTGGTGTCGGGCAGTGATTAATTCCAGATAACTGATAGATCTCTTTTAAACAGTAGCTGCAATCACAGAGGGGAATCCTTTTAGAAATCAGCTGGTGTAGGCATACAACCTCTCCATTGGGCCCAATTCCAGAAAAGGAGAGGAGAGCATTGAGGAAGTCATAGGAACTTTGGCTTGTTAATTCTGTGAGACTGGAGAGTTTTTTGTGGCTAGAAGCAAATTGCAGCTCTTCAAAATTTGCTAGTCTAGCATCTGGAACATGACTGAAGCCCTTGCAAGGCTCACTTAGATCTTCATATATAGTTTTTCAGCTGAAAAGGAACTTCAGTCATTTCAATTTCTTAGTATGTAGTTGATGGCTAATACTGCTACTACCATTTGCCAAATTCTTCAAGATTGTTTTCTTTGCTGATGAGGTGATCATAAGATTCTACAGTACTCTGTTTTGGCATTCATAGAAATCCATTATTATAATAATTGTTTGCCAAAGAACTGCTTGTAATTTAGTCATTTTATTCAGTCTTGATATATGATACCTTGCACTGTTTGAGTGTGTAGAGCTGAGGTCCAACAGAATGGTGCTTAACACTCACCATTCCTGATAACTGCGTTATTTACCTTGAAGTCATTGTCATTGGAAGTATACATTCAGATCTTTGAGTCTCTGAGGACAAACACTTTGTCTTATTTATTTTCTCTTTTTAAATGCAAACATGTAATGAATGAGATATTCAAGTACTACAGTGATTGACAGAATAGAAAATGCAGGCGTAGGTAAATTAGTGGTACACATTTGAGTACCTGCTGTGTAAGGAAACAGTTTTCTTAACCTGCAGCAGTATTTGTTTTATTCCAGTCATTAAATCAGTACCATATAACAGCTACTAGTGTTATTTTGTGCATGAAGCACTAGAATTGTAGGTGTTTCTGTCTCAGTCTGTTTATTTTCATTTGCACTAGCTGCATGCAGTAACATAAGAAATAGCTTTTCCAATGAAAGAATGTTGCAGATTCTTAGAAGCTGTATTTCTCTTCTGTAAAGATCTAATATTATTTCCTTCCTGCAGCTCCTGTTTCACAATTCAGATGTTGAATAAAAGATGTCTTGGAATAATGTTGTGAAACACATTTGGAGTTTTTTTGAAGTAATTAGTGAAGGGAATTAAACAGAGAAAGAAAGAGTCATAACAAAAGCATCAAAAACTTTTAGAAACAGGTTTCTATGGTTTTGTAAGGAATGCTTTAAATGTTACTTGTACTATACAGAGTGACCTTAGTACTGACAGGTTTCCTGCAGATCTTTCCCATTTCTATATTATCAAAGGGGATTAATGACTGTTGAAGGTGATTGCTTCATTGTTGCTTTATGTGGCTTAATCGATCAGAGTATTGTTATGGCTTTGGGCTATAAAAATGGCTACATTCAAGATGTTAGATTTAAAGAGCTTTTGAAAATATTGGTATAAATTAAAAAGTATAACCCTCATCATTCTGCTGAGCTGCAGCCTGTGATGATATGGGGAAAAAAGGAAGAATAAGTAAAATGGATAAAAGAAAATTAAACAACAGAGTTAAGTGTGTTAAAATAAATTTCACAACCATAGCTGAAGGAAAAAGTGAAAGCTATCAAATTAAAAAAGATAATGAAAAATGTCAACAGTGATCTTTATTACTGGGCAAAATTACAACTGCAAAACAGTGGAATAAAGCCCATGAGCTAATTAAACATCTGTAGGCTAATGAGCTTATATGAACACTGTATTACACAGTTTTGGATGCTCCAAATTCTGAATGAAACTCATGGCAGCTTTGCCCAGCTTCCTGGTCCATACTAACTCTGGGACAGACATGAATGACTTAATATTTTGTTTCTGCTTAATATGTGACCAGTACCAAAAGAAATTCTGTTGTGGGTTGACCCCAGGCAGGAGTAGGCAGCCACTAGCCTCTCAGTTACTTCTCCCTGAGAGGGGTGGAGGAGACCATCGGAAGAGTAAAAGCAAGAAAAATTTAAGGGTCAAGAGAAAAGAGTTTAATAGGTGAAGCAAAAGCTGTGCACTGAAACAAAGCAAAATAAGGGATTTATTCACTACTTCCCATTGGCAGCCTGATTTTTAGCCACTTCCTGGAAACCAGAGCGTCAGCATACGTAACAGTTACTTGGGAAGACAAATTCTATAACCATGAACATCCCTCTTTCCTCCTTCTTTCCTTGAGCTTTTACTGCTGTGCATAATGTCATATGGTGGAGAACATCCCTTTGGTCACTTGGGCTCAGCTGTCCTGGCTGAGTATCCCTCCCCACCTCTTACCTACCCCCCAGCCTGCTCCCTATGAGATCAACAGAGAAAACCCTGAAGCTCTGTGTCTTGGTTTAGGCCCAGAGGGCAGCTGCTCACTCAGGCCTTCCCCCATCAGAGACTGGAAGGAGAATATGACCATTTAAGGAGGAAGCTCACCCCTTATGGTCACAGGTAAGACAGACTCATTAGGGGAAGAAGAAGAAAATATAACTTTAATTCAAACGCTAACAAAGACAACACTTAACAGACAAAGTGGTGACAGTGAGAAGCACCACCACATCCAAAATACCTCCCCTACCCCTCCCTTCTTCCCGGGCTCAGCTCTGTTCCCGATGTCTCTCCCTCCTCCCCCAGAGGTGCAGGGGGCAGGGGATGGGGGTTACAGTCCGCTCGCTGCTCGGGAGATGCAGTGAATGCAGCAAATTCCTCCCCTGCTCCTTGTGGCTCCCCTCTCACGGCAGACAGGTCTCCGTGAACCATCTTCACAGAGTTCTTCCTGCGGGATGCAGCTGTTCCTGAGCTGCTCCGACATGGATTACCCCCGCATCTTGCAGTCCTCCCAGCGCCAAACCGCAACAGTGGGGCCACTTCTCCCCTCAGAGTCCCAGCCTCCTGTAAGGGCAGATGCCTGTCCTGGAGTGGGCTTCTCCACAGGCTTCAGGTCAACCTCTATTCCACCGCGGACCTCCGTGGGTGGCAGATTGAGCGGTCCTGCCGTCTTGCCACGGGATACAGGGGTCTCTGCTCCAGTGTACCTCCTCCACTTCCTTCTTCCTTCCGCTGATCCTGGTGTTCATCCTTCTTGTAACTCCTCCTCATAAGTCCCAGCCCCCTCTCACGTTCCCCTTTTTAAATACCTTATCACAGAGGCTCAGCGGATTGGCCCTGGCCAGAAGTGGGTCTGACTTGGAGCCAGGGCAGCTTTCGAGAAATTTCTCACAAAAGTCACTGCCATAGCCCCCTCCCTTGCTACTGAAAAACTGTGCCACAGAAACCCAGCACACCCTACCAGCACTGTTCAGCACCAGCACTGGTGTGCTATCAGCACTGTTTCAGAAGCAACTCCAAAACACAGCACCGAAGAAAATTAACTACATCCCAGGCAGATCCAGTACAAAGTCAGTTCCTCTTTGGCAGTGGATTAGGATTAGTATGCTCAGAAGTTAATTTTCAGGTTTTGAACTACAATCCATTGATGTACCTATTTTTTTGATCCATGGAAATGCTGGTTGGTTGAGCAGCATGTTAAATACTGACTGATGGCATGCAGCAAGACAAGAATTTCCATTTCTTAATCCTGTCGATTCCTATTTCTTTTATCTTTCACATGCTTTGTGTTGAGAAAATAGTGTTCAAAGTTGATTTGATAGTATGGGAAATAGGTAAAACTGCATATGAAGCTGAAATACTAACCTTGAAGTTACTGTCACAGTAGGAACAGTGCAAAACTACTTAGGATTGAAGAAGGCCCTGATATGTTCATCTCTTATGAGTACTTTTTATACACACTGCTGTGAGGAGGATTTTTTATAGCTTCAGAATCATTTATGGTTTAGACTTCCAGTTTTTATTGCTTAAAAATTTTTATTTATTTTACAAAAAGACAAATACCAAAAGTTCTCTGTAAACTTAATCTATGTGGCTTATTGCACATTTCCCAGAGTTGAATTTACTTCCTTGCCCGCTTTGGGAGGTGCCACATATGTTAGATGTATATGTTCCCATATTGGCTGTAATCACCAGTATGATTGCCAGTTATTTTAATCCAGTAAACCAGTGTTATGAGGTACTGAATTGATAACTATGTAAGATCCTAAATCAGGAGTGCATTCCTAGTCAGGGTAACATGCAGTATTCCTAAATCAGGACTTGAATGCTGCGACAAATGATAGCCTGTGATCAGGAGTGAATATCTGAATATCTTTTTTCAAGTGTATATAGTAAAAATGTCTTTAATCCTGAATCGATGGAATCAGTGAAACCCTTGGAGTTTTGTTGTAAAATGTTACTAAAATGTTACTATTGCTTATAAAGCCACTTTGAGATATTTGTTTTTTGAACTGAGAAAAAAAAAATATATTTTCTCTTTTGCTCTCCCTCTTGCTCTTTTCTTCTTTTTTTTTTTTTTCTTTTCCTTTTTCTTTTTGGTTTTTAAAGCAGGGAAAGTGCATTTACAGCTTTCTTAGTCGTCAGTATTGATTTGATTTTTTTTTTTTTCCCCCACACTCTTGGGATAGCAGGAATGTTGTAAAGCCTAAGAAAAATAGATCTTTCCTAAGGTTTTTCTGCACTGCTCATGAATTAAAACCAAGTACATGTATGTACCAAAAGGTGTTTTTAAACATTTTTTTAAAAGAGTAATATATTTCTAAAGCCTTGTTTTTCCTTTAAAAGTAGTCTCATTTAAGGTTGGTTGAGTAAACTGATTTTGAACAGGGAACCATTTAATTTTTCTAACCCATACTCTACTGCTAAGCTCTATACAGAACTTCTACCTGGTGTGAGGGGTTTGCACAAGAACTTGAAGAAAATACAAATGACTATGGGGATGGAAGTTTTTTACACTTCATGCTTGGGTTTTCAAGGAAAGTCTCACTTTTTTTGTTGCATTTTAAAATATTTCTTGTATAGTAAAAGACACTGAAACAGTAATAGCATAAAACAAAGACTTCTAAAAATGTCATTTCAAAGATGCTCTATTCTTTGTGCTGTTCTGATGCCAGGTGCCCACCAAAACCAGTCTATCACTCCCCTTCTCAACGACACAGAGGAGAAAGAATATAACAAAAGGCTCAAGGGTTGACACAAGGACAGGACTTGCTGGAATGCAGGTGGAGATCTGCTCCACCGTGGACCTCCATGGGTGCAGGGCACATCCTGCCTCACCATGGGCTGCACCACGGGCTGCAGGAGGATCTCTGCTCTGGCACCTGGAGCACCTCCTCCCCTCCTGCTTCACTGGCCTTGGTGTCTGCAGGCTTGTTTCTCTCACATATTCTCACTCCTTTCTGGCTGCAAGTGCTCTCCCACATTTTTTTCCCCCCCCTTTCTTAAATAACGTTATCCCAGAGGCACTACCACCATAGCTGATGGGCTCAGCCTTGTCCAGGGGTGGGTCCATCTTGGAGCCGGCTGGCATTGCCTCTGCTGGACACGGGGAAGCTTCTAGCATCTCCTCACAGAAGCCATACTTGTAGCCCCCCCTCTACCAAAACCTGTCCATCTAAAGCCAAAACACTCTTTTTTGAAAGACTAGAGAATTGTTTGTATTGGATCTGAAACCCACATCAAAGGAACATTCTTACTGAGAAGAATTATTAAAAAATAGAAGTTTTCAAACAGTAAAGTATTAAATGAGCAAAAAAGCCAGTTATAGGAAGATAATTAAAGGCATTAAAATCATAGATCCCTGCTGTGTTAGACTGCATTAATAGTGGATTTTTTTTTTTTTTTATAATTTGAGTGCCAGTAAGGTTCTGACTGCCTGATATTAAAAAAGATGAATTCACAGATCACACACAGAAGGAAGTACTTGCTTCAGTTTCCAGTATAGTGGTTGTTTTGTTGTTGATGAGCAATCATTGCAAATCAGTACTTCAAGCCCTGCAGATTTGAGGTTCAGGAACCAAAGGTATGGATAGATGAAACTAGCAATTCCATAACAGTTAGGTGAAAGGAAACCTTTTTAAGCCATACATAATAATTTTAAGTTTTTAAGTCAACATAATAATTTTCAGATGAAGGCTTGTAGTCTTCTTCACTGTGTTCGCTAGTTGACCCTTGCTTTTGCGCAGACTCAGTCCTGTAGTTACGCACATCTCGTCCTTCAGGCCTTGTTGGATATGGTTTGTTGCTAACTTGCAGCTCCTTTACCTTGGTGGCTCAGTAGTTCCTTCCTTATCTCAAGGACGATGGTGGGCTCATCCTGTTTTTCTCTCATTCATTCGCAAGGTAGTTATCTAGTTAATGTTTTATTGAGAAATCATCTGGTTAATGCCTCTTCATTCATACATCAAAAGCCTTTAGAATTAGTAACTTTACCATCATCTGGCTATAAATTGTTAATTTTAAACAGGAACCAATTCTATATCAGTTTTCACAAATACAAAGTTTGGTGAAGGACTAATAATTTCTGTGGCAAATATGTCAAAAACAGTTGTCTCTCTGTAGCTAAATTGTGAGAACAGTTACTCAGGTTCTGTTAGAGTTCTGATTTTATTTTACTGCACTACTGCTTCTAATTTTTTTTTTTAATGAACTCCAACTTTTAGCCATCATTAAAAGCCAAAGCCATAAATTTCCCCATGTTTTTACTGAGTTAAATACATCTGAAATACTTATGATAGATTCTGAATAGTGGCACTCTAAGTGGAGCTTCTATTAAGTTTTAATACTGTGATGTCCCACTTCTAAACTACATAAAATAGTTTAAAGTGTCATTTTAAAATTGTATTTTGAAAACTAAGTTTACCTTAAGTATCATAAACAATAATCAATTTTGCACTGCAGAGGCATCCTTATGTTATAAAACCTTATGACATTTTAATTAGGAAGATAGATCATATAACTCCATAGGATGGAATAAGTTTTCCTGCTACCGCTGCTTTGCTATACCGCATGTTTTTCTAAATTGGCATAAAAATGCATTAACACTTGTCTAAATTAGGTCAGCTTTAAAAGTCGGAGGAGGAAAAGAGGAGGAATTAGTTGTCTTAAATTCATAGATCTTTTTGCTGCTCTCTTAATCTGCAGAGAAACACTTTAAGCAGAAGTGATTTTGTAAGTTGAAAGAAAACTGGTTCTGTTAGGCAGCTATGTGATTGTTGCATTTGTGTTACAGTCAAGGGAGAAGATAGTGATGTCCTCAGCATAAATGCAGATGCATATGATAGTGACATAGAAGGCCCATGCAATGAAGAAGATGGCCCAGATGTGCAAGAAAACACTGTCAGAACTGGAGACAGTCAGATCGATGATCTTCAGAAGGACATTGAGAAAAGCGTGAATGAGATACTGGGGTTGGCAGAGTCCAGCCCAAAGGAACCCAAAGCAGCAGCCTTAGCTGTTCCTCCATCAGAAGATGTTCAGCCATCAGCACAGCAGTTGGAGCTTCTGGAGCTTGAGATGAGGGCCAGAGCTATTAAGGCTCTAATGAAAGCTGGTGATGTGAAAAAACAGCCCTGAGATTGTTTAGACTTAATATTCAGTGTTTGTTTTTAAGGATGCGTTGTCTGTTCTCTTCAATGCTAAAGTATATTTAGGTTGGGTATGACATTCCTCATTCAAACCCTATTGTATATCCTGACCTGTTGCTTCAACCACTGATAGTGTGTTTCATTGCCTTTAGTTTGCTGCTTCCATTACATAAACAGAGTGATTTGATGCTTCACTGAGATCACGTGTTTTTGGGCTGGCTTATCTCCTCAAGGGGTCACACAATGTATAGAGCTATGCCAGGAACCTGGTGCCTTCCAGAAAGGTTCAAGTTCTTTGTAACCCCGACTTGTTAAACTACTTGAGAAACTTGATTTATATGTACTTCATTAAAAACAACATTTTAAAGAGGTCGTGTGTTTGCCTTCAGGAGTCTGTGATGGAATTTGAGATTGCATATTTCTCCTTTGGGCCCCGCTCATCATAAGGTAGCTGTTCTAGTTAAAATGAATGATGATTCACTTAAAAGCATACTTAATTTTTAGAAAGTTGAATTCCTAAATAAAAAGTTGAACCATGTTATTTTCAGAGTTACAAAAGTGCCTGAAAGTGACGAATACCAGAGTTTTTATACTGTTGATCATGTAATTTTATCGCTCTTATCTGCTGTTTATCTTCTCTGCCATAATTGAAATAAAAAAAAACCCAGAGTTTTTTCTTGACTGTGAAGCTTTTTTGTTGAATATCGGCATAATGTTTAGGGCAATGCATCAAATTAGACTATTTAGAAGACCTTGAGTTTTTAACATTTAACTGAGGTAGTCATTTTATATCACCTGTAAATACGAAAACCCAGCTAATTTCAGTAGAAATGTTTTTTAGAAAAGTCATTTAATTTATTTATTATATCAGGTTTTAAAATAATAATTCTACTTTTATCTATTTCAATATTTATTTGTAAATTGTATTATGAGATTAATTTTCCTTCTATGATTTCTTACAAAAATTAAAATAATTTTGATTTTGCTTAGAATTAGTGCTAGTTTTATCTTTGGGTGCTAATCAAATGCATATTAAAATATTTGTGTGTGTGTTTGTTTACATGTATACAAATTGGTTTTTTTAAGGTATGAATTTAAGAATATGGTCCTTGTTAGGTGAAATCATGTGTTACTTGTTTTGTTACTCCTAATTTTCCCTTGCTTGTTACCTAGAAAGCAAATTAGATACTTTGCAAAGTAGCATAGGTAATTTCCACATGCTATTTTGTAATATTACTGCAGACCTTGTTCTATTCAGATGCTATGGCTTGAATTCTCTTGCAAGGTTTATAATTTTCTTTTTCTCTTTCCTTTTTACCCCTTTCTTTTTTTCCCTTTATTATCTTTTTTATTTTTCTTTTTTTCCCCTTTCCTCTTAACCCCTTTTCTACCTTTCCCTTTCTTTGTCAAGTGCATTGTTTTTAGTAGCAAGCTTCTTTTATATTTCTTAAAGTATGATTGATTTCCTCTAGAATCAACAGTATTGCGAGTAGAATAGTAGCAAAATAGTGCAGTGTAAATTTGATTATAAACTAAAACCTTCATTAAGTGCAGCTGAGAATATTATAGTTCACTAAATGATGTTAGTGACCTGAGTAAATTTCACCTGACAGTAATCAGTTATCCATGGCAACAACATTTTTCTATCTTTTCTTAGCAAATGGAGGATGTAAGTTAGAATATATATATATATACAACTCAAAAGGTAACTGTCTCAGAATATGTGTGTGTTGTCTGGTTAATTTCATTTGGCTGTTTAGTGAACTTGTGATTTATCTGAGTACAGTGAAACAAAAGTAGATAATGAGAGAAAGACAGTTGGCAAAACCTAGATGTGCTGTCATGTTATTTATAAAGTCACAGGCTAGTGAAACGATGTTAGACTGTAAAAATAAGTTTTACTGCTGCTATATTTAGATCCTTAAGGCACTGAATACCTCACTTTGCCTGCTGTGGAAATGAAAAAGCTCATCTGCAAGGACATTTTCTTCCTAGTCATACTGTACAACCGTCTATATCTCAACCAATAGGAAAATGTGTTCCTTATTGTTTGCCTCTCTTCTTTCATGGCAAGGTTCATTTGTCAGTTCTACAGTCTGCCATAGCATTGATGAGTCTTGCAAAATCCCAAGCAATATGAATAAACAAGAATCAGTCCTTAATATTGAAGAAAAATGTGCAATACAGTAATATTGATTGATAGGACAAATGTTTATAGACGTGTATATTTCCTTTTTTACTGGTACTCTCAACACCTGTGGTTTTATCACGCATATGTGATTCTTTGCTGACTGCATACTCCTGTGTGACTCCCATGTATTTCTGCCAACCACTGAACAGCAAAAGGACATTTCATGCAGAAGCCATGCCTTGCTAAGGCTTAATGTAAAGTGTCTTAGGAAAGCAGAATGTAAATCAGGTTTAATTAGAAATATGTTCACTAATGCCACTAGAAGAATTGATACAGTCAAATGTATGATGTCCGTTCCGTGATGTTGCAGAACAATACATTTGCATGTTTGGCAACAAGGAAATACTGCTAGAAGCAGTGATGAACTAGAAGGTAATTCTCTCTTCTACTTGCTGGGGGTGTATGGCATTCATTTCTGAACTGAGCTTCATTTTCTGATTGGTTTTCCAGGTCACCTTTAAAAGTTCATTTTGTAATGTCCTGAACTGTCAAAGATTATTTTTTTCAAGGTCTGTGTCAAGAAGTTGCATATGCTAACTTTAATATGTAGTGTGACAAAGATGAAACAGATTTACTACGCATATGACAGAGAATATTTGTAATTACTGCCTAATTAAGTTTGAAATTGAAAGAGGAGAAGGATTCCAATAAAATTAAATTAAGCTGTTTACAAAAATAAAATTAAAAAAATATATATCATAAGAGAGACTTCATGTGATTGATCATGCAACTGCTAATTAATTTTTAGGATATTTTACTGTTGCTGCTTAGGTTAAAAATAGATTAGCTAAATTATATGGGTTCCTGCATTGATTTGTATCACTGCACAGTTAAAAAAAATCCAGTGTACTTAAAATATTTATTAAACAGCTGTTTTGTTGTTCACTTTTAAATATCTTTTCCTCGAAAAATAAATTTAATATTTCACTTAGAGGAGGAGGCAATTTGTATGTAAAATGCAGTCATGAATTATTTACGATTCCTTAAAATAATTTTACTGATTTTTGATCAACCACTTTGCTGGGAAAAAAATATTATACAGTGGATGTTGGTCAGCATGAGGAAAAAGATCCTGATTATATTCTGGACTACAACAGAAATATTTTCTAATGAATTTTGGCTGTCCTTGTAGGTGAAGCACAGTGCTTTTCTGAGGAGGAGGGTTGATTGCCTTTGTATTAGGTAAATAAAAAGTCGTGACAACCCAGAGAGCCAAAAGTATCTATTATTTCTGTTCAGAGGCTTTGATATTATTTTTATGGTGATATCATAGATTAGATTTTAGGATGCCACTTTTGAGAGACAAATCACAGGCATTTCCTCAGGAAAGAATTAGTTCTGTTTGCAACACTTTTCATTACAGTATTTGCTCACAGAAATATTTTGTTTAAGAGACTTAGTGCCTTGCATAACTTTCTTTTAAAGCTATGTTATATGCTCTTTGCTGTTTAAAAGTATTGTAATTATTAATCACAGTGAATAAAACTGTTGATCACTAACTTCAGGTTGCTTCTAAGTAGATACAGAGGAATCAAGTCATCTGGGTAGAAGATTTAAGATGCTGCTGTTTTAAGTGGATACTGTTGAAATGCCACATCAAGCATGAGCAGTATGGCACGTCATTGTGAATCTTGCCACGTGAGGCAGCTGGATAGCACTCTCCCACAGCCTTGTCTGTATTTGAGGGAGCACGGTTTCACAGACAGCAGCCACTGTAGGGGAACCCTGTATTGGGACAGAAGGTCTCTTCACCAGCTGAATCCTTACAGGATCAGAGCTTTAAACATCATAAATGTTTTTTTAAAATTAAAAAATATTTCTTAAATATTAATCTGCAGAAGCAGTTGTCTTAACTAGAGTTACTTAATTTTCATCTGTGCGTAAAGCATGTCAAGGGTTTTCTAAAAAACAGCAACTGAAAAAAGGTTTTGTGCACATGAATGCATAGTAAGTTGTTATATGGCATTTTACATGCTCATCTTAAAATTATAAGCACTGATTTAGCTTTATGAGATCACTGATGCTGGTAATTGTGCCCTTTTCACAGAAGATAATTGAAGATTAATTGTGAAATAGGCCTTTTAGTCAGGAAGGGAGATGAGGTGGTTAGCTGATGCAGAAACATGAAGAAGAATAGCATAACTATAGGAGCACAGACACCAAATTAAAAACTGATTATGAGGTCCTGCAATTTAGTCCCAGTAATATAAACCTTCATGTTTATTGCTAAGTCTATCTGCAATATATGGAGAGAAAAAAATGTTTGTTCACCTTATTTATGACAAAATTTGAATGTTAGAATACTGTATTTTTTTTTTTGTCAAGTCTTGTTGCATTGGCCTTTCTTGGCATTAATATTAAAATATGTAAAAGCAATACATAAATGGTGAAGAAAAATCTGAAGCTTGTATAAAGGTTTAGCCACATACCAGTTAATCAAACTGACTCTGTAGTCAGACAAGGAAAGGCCGCAAAAACATAAATGTAAATATTTCATGTTTATTAAACTGTAGTGTACAAGTAATCATCTCTATAAAAAAGGAAAAAGAAAAAAAAAGCATGTTCATTCAATGCATCATCACTTTCTTAAGTGCATGGGATAATGTCATCTTTTTTCATGAGGTTTGTCTTGATTATTGTCAGACTGAAAACTGAATTTTTGTCCTTTGTATTTAATGATTCTGCAAAGTTGTTCTAGATTAATATCTTACACTCTGAATTGTCAGATCTATAATCTTGCATCCCATCTTCCATTTTCAGACTTCAGTTAGTCTTGTTTTGCTTACAAAATCTGAGCTTTACTTCCCTGGAATACTGTTTGCAGTTCTGCATGTCTGTATTGGAAATATATCTGTTGGGAGTGGAATGGATACATACAAAGACTTCTAAGGTCAGCAGAGGAACAGAGGACACGAGACATGACTAGAAAAGCTTGTTTAGTCTAAACGTGTTGAAACTTGCCTGTAAAGACAGGCAGTAATAGAGTACTGGGAAAGACATTTAAGCTGAGTATGAATACTGGTGAGGAACGAAGGCTATATTTTGGTTAGGTAACTTGTTCCCAAGCTGCCTCCTTGTCTCCTCCCTCCAGTAACACTGTTGTGCAGCTAATGTTTGCACTGATATGTAGTGAACCACATCAGGAAGCTCATTCGAGCAGGGAATCCTGTCCATTTGCTCCTCTCAACCCGGATCAGCATCCTGATCAATTTTGCTGTGTTGACGCAACAGAATGAATAGTGAAAATTTACCTGCTGAAAATGGTGCTGGATTATCATACTCAAGTGATACTCCAGGTTATTCCAGTCCTTGAGGTATGAGGCATCAAAATTAAGGTCCATGATTTAATTGTCTTGTTGAAGTGATGCAGATCTTCACTCAAAAATGGTGGCTAAACTGCTTCAAATGTAAACTATTTTAGCTATTAAATTTGCCAATTTATATGCTTCTGATTATTGGTATGCTTTTTTAAAGCAAAGTCACCAATATT